GAAGGACGGAAGGCTGAGTCAAACCTTGAGCTAGTTTGGATCGAACTGATGGCAGTGGGCAGACTTTAGCCTGCAATAAAGGTAAAGGTAAGATCAGTAGACCTGGTGAGACCTGGCCTATAAAAGTACCAAGAGTTGGACACGGCTGAATGGATAACCATCATCATCATCGTCAACAACAAGATAAAGGCAGTTCTTCAGAGGCCAACTCACCGAGGTGTTAAGATGGACCACGCAAACGAGGGTGGCCGAATCGATGGACCACAATTCTTCTTCTGGCTTGTAGGTGAAGCTGAAGCGTTGGGTCTTCGGGCTGGGGGATTTCAGGGTCGCCACCGAGTAGCTCATCGAGACCCCTTGGTGGAAGAGCAGCTGAGGCGGGTTGTCTCGGGGTTTTAAGAAACAGTCGCCCATTTCTAGAGAAAACTGTGTCATGGCGGTTCGGAGCGAGACCTAATGAGGAGGAAGGTGATGTTGTTCATTGTTTAACGATCCCGTAATCCCTTGCGGGGTGGAGTCGGGGCAACTGAATGGAGCTGAGTGTTTACTGGCTGGATGTCTTTCCTGTCACCAGCGCGGAGTTTTGTTCAGCAGATAAATTCTCATGGTGCTCAGAGAGAGAAATATCAGCTTCTACCTAGGATTGAACTCACCGCCTCCCGATTGTGAGGCGAGAGCTCCACCTCTAGGCCACCACAACACTCATTGAGGAGGAAGGTGATGGAGATCTTAGTCACAACATTATTTTCAAGGACACTGGTCTGAAACGAAGATCGGTTTGCTTCCCCTGTTCTCATCCCTCCCTTTATCCCTGAATTAACCTCTTTCCCATATTCACACAACACCTGGAAACCAAGATTTGCCCACCAAACTCGGTTTGACCAAGACATGGAGCATCATCAAGCTTAACAACAACCCTTCGAGGCTTCGAGGGGGGGAAGAGGGAATGGAGCCGTCAGAGAGAGGCGGAGCCTGGGCCGTCCGTCAGCCCTCAGATGGAGAGTCAACAGCCCCCAGGTCTGGAGGTGGCTGATGAGGAGGAGGAGGAACAGCTGGGTCCAGTGCCTGATACGCAGAAGGCAGAGGAGAGGAGAGCAGTGGAAATCTATGGGCTGATCCTTGGGAAGGAAGAGCCACAGTTGCTAAGAAGGCCCCACCCTCGCTCGGGGGATAAAAGGCAGGGGGCGGAAATGAATAGGTGTGGCAGACAAACTATTCATCTCCCCTGCCGGTTGGACTTGTTAGCCTGTGTGAGAGATTTTTTTGCCGGGGTTGCCGGCGCTCCTAATAAAGGAATCTTTTGAATTCACGTCACAGGGTTTGTCGTGTTTGGGAAGCTGAGTCAAAATAACCGCCTTCCCTGACCTCAGCTCTCAACACCCCTTCTTTTGCCCTTGGGACTCGAGGTCTACCTTCCTACCCCCCAAATCCACCAGACCAGCATTACCTCCACGTAGGTGACTTGGTGAGCTTGTATCACCGGATTGCTCGGCGAGGCGAAATCTTCCGAGTTGTAAAGCTGGAGAGAGACTTTCTCTGGGAGATCACATTCAAAGGGCACCTGCAGCCGAGGATCGAAAAAACAACTGGATTCATTCGTTGCCCCCTCCCTCCTTAGTAGATCCGTTTGCAGCCAGGAAAAAGGATTTCCCCAGATCTGCAAACGGTGTCTGCAGAATTTAAGAGGCTCAAATACGCCAACGGGTAGCTTTGCAAAACAGAAAAATTACAAAATTGCGTGGAACCATTTTTTTTTCCAAAGCGGAAATGTTGAACCTTTGCATTTCACAGGGCTTAATAATTTTCCTAGCAGGAATCGCCTCTTCTCACAAGTCTCGTCTTAATTGTCCCTCCTAACCCAGGGCCAAGGTCGGCTATTAAGAGGCGGGGCCGCCAGTTGCCGACCATACAGATAAACATTATTGAACGTTAAGAGGACGAAATTAGGGATTTGGGTCAGTCGGTTGCGCGGTTGAGAAAGAAATATATTTTTCTGTGTGTTTAAAGCAAATATCGGCAACCTTAAATACTCAAAGAGCCACAAAGGTCCTAACCGGGAGTCCCCCGTTCAATTCTGGAGCGGACCAGAAGTCCACCTCCCCCACCATAGAGTCTCCTCCTAGAGCGGCATCCTTTTTCCTCTACCTGTCCTAAACGAAAGCCCTATCAATTGTGGAGCTGATCGGGGACAGGGAGCCACAGCAGAGGGATGAAAGAGCCACATGCGGCTCCAGAGCCGCAGGTTGCTGACCCCTGCTTTAAAGCATCCCCCTAAGACTGTGGCGTATTTTTTTCCCCTCTTGCATGCTAAACAAAGCAGAATCTTGGCTTTTCTTTAAAAAGAAATAATAATAATACCCTTATCACCTCCTCTTTTGACTTTTTTTTTTTTAACAAAGCAGTGGAGTAATTCCTTGAAAAGCTGCAGTGTGTGTTTGTCGAGTATTAAGCCATATCAAAAAGAATTCAACGGCACAGCCTCAGGAAAGATATTACAACCGAATAACTGCTTTTAGAAATTTCTTCTTACCGTCACTTTTCCCGGAAACACAGGCAGCATTATTATGAGCTGGAACAATTAAAAGAGAGAAAGAAATACGTATTTGGGGGGGTCTGATATAAATGCCTTTGAATATTTTTGCTTTAAGAGAAAAGAGTTGCATAAAACACCCTGCTATATTTGGGGGCTCCATGCCAGAACTTGGGGGCTTTGGGCCAGGATTCGGGGGGCTTCGGGCCAGGATTTGGGGGCTCTGGATCAGATTTGAGGGGCTCCATGCCAGGATTTGGGGGCTCTGGATCAGGATTTGAGGGGCTCCATGCCAGGATTTGGGGGCTCTGGATCAGGATTTGAGGGGCCCCATGCCAGGATTTGGGGGCTCTGGATCAGGATTTGAGGGGCTCCATGCCAGGATTTGGGGGCTCTGGATCAGGATTTGAGGGGCTCCATGCCAGGATTTGGGGGCTCTGGATCAGGATTTGACGGGATCCATGCCAGGATTTGGGGGCGCCATTCCAGGACTTGGGGGGCTTCAGGCCAGGATTTGGGAGACTCCAGACCAGGATTTTGGGGGGCTTTGGGCCAGGATTTAGGAGGCTCCATGACAGGATTTGGGGGGATTTGAGTCAGGATTTGGGGGCTCTGGTCCAGGACTTGGGGGCTTTGGGGGCTTCAGGCCAGGATTTGAGGGGCTTCAGACCAAGATTTGGGGGGCTCTGGGAGACTCCAAATCAAGATTTAGGGGGCTCTGGGTCAGGATTTGGGGGCCTGCAGGTCAGGATTTTTGGGGCAACTTGTTAAAAAATTACCGTACCTGGTTTTTCACATGGACACCCCCTTCAAGTTGGGTGGAACATTTGTCCAAGATGCTGTTAAGCACAAAGTGAGTTGTGTTCTCTCGGGCCCTGCAGCTGGGATCTTTCAAGGTGATGGCATCGACCTCCGTATGTAAGGCCTAGAGTTGCAAGGAGAAGGACAAATCATGGTTAGCTGGGAGATGTTTCAACAGGGACAACCCAAGGAGGGAACGAGCAAGTTTCTGGATTCGACAGAACTCGTCAGCAGGGTTGCTTAGAAAGGCAGCAGGGGATTGGATTCCCCGGTTGTGCTAACCTGCACAACCTCTGACTCAGTTGGGGTGTATTGATACAACCCCTATATTTTTGATCCATGGGAGTCTGCCTGGGGCTTCTGGGATACGTAGTGTTGTGGTCCACCAGTGGAGCTGGCAGCAGATTCGGACAGTGAGGAGGTTGGGGAGGAACATGGGCCAGTCCTGGAGCCTGGGAGGGCTCTGCGTCAGAGGCAGAGAGGGGGCCAGGGCCGTATGGCAGTTATCAGCTGCCTTTGGAGTCGACATCAGTGAGGCAGATGAACAGCTGGAGCCTGTTCCCAATGTGCAGAGTTGCCAGACGAAGGGAACAGCTAAGGAACAAGGGTCGACTCAGGAGTAAAGCCACAGGTGGACGATGAATGGCCCCTCCCAGAGGGAATAAAAGAGGAGCGAAAGGGAGTGGAGTTTGCAGGAGACAATAAGTTCGCTGAGTTGGTTCTTGACTCCTTGCCAAGTTTTGAAGATATCGGCCTGGTAGCTCTCCAAGCCAGATAAGGACTGTGACAGTAAATCCTCCCTTGAAAGACTTCGCTGGATGTGAAAGAGAGGAATTCACAGTAACTTAATAAAAAGGGATTTTTGTCAGGACAAAGAGTCTGCTTCGTGGTTGGGGAATGCCTAGGATCAGAACAGATAGCCCAACATCGGTGGAAGTTGATGAACCTTGGCTGACCTTCCCGGAAAAGGGGGAACAGTCAGGGAAACTGAGGCAGAACTGCTCAGGATCCCAAATGGACTTCCTTACCGCCAGAGTAATCTTGAGAATGGCAATTTCGATGCTACTATCCAAACACTTCCACGGCTTGCAAAGGTTGATGAGCTGATGGACTTTGACGGTCAGGTTTTCTGCTGTCTGGGGTGGTGGGGTAGTTGTGACGACAGTTGAGCCTGTAAAACATGACACATACACCCCAAAGACACGTGAGAAGAAGGACCTCGAGACTGAGATTCGTGGCTTGTTTCTTTTCCAGGGACCTCAAGCCCAGCGCAAATGGAGCGCCGTATCTCCGCGAATCCTAAGCTGAACAAGGGGCCTGGGGTTCTAGAAAGTCTTGACCAGCATTTCCAAATTATTTTTCAGAGTGTGGAATCTATTACTGGCACACAAAAAGATCTCCAGAACTTCCTCGTCAAGAGGTGAAGCTCCAGTGCCTTCAGACGTGTGGGTGCTTCATCACAGGAGGCTTTTAAGAAGAGACTGGGCAGCCACCTGTCTGACATGGTAGAGGATCTCCTGCTTGAGAAAGGGGCTGGACAAGAAGGCCTCCAAGATCCCTTCCAACTCTGTTATGCTATATTATGTATTCTGAGCTCCATACTCGATATATGGAGGAGGAATTTCCTGACCGTGAGGACGATCAAACGGTGGAATGGCTTGCTTTCAGAAGTTGTGGGAGCTCCATCACTGGAGATTTTTAAGAAGTGACTGGACCAGAGATCAGCAACCTGTGGCTCTGGAGCCGCATGTGGCTCTTTCACCCCTCTGCTGCGGCTCCCTGTCGCTCAAAATATGCGTCACAACCACCAAAGGGTGACACCTCCCTCAAGATCCTGCAAATATTGTCTTCTCCTTGGCCTGATCCAGCCGGCTGCCTCCAAACCTGGATTATATTGTACTGACTCACCACAAATCCTCTTGTATTCCAGGCTGATGGTTTTGGCCGAAGGGATTTCGGTGTAGGAAGCCACGAAGGAATTGTTGCGGGCCTTTTGGATCAGTTCCTCCTTGTTGTCTGGAAGGGTCATACCGTTGTGGACCCCAGACAAGGTAGCAAATGAATATTTACCAGATGCCTGAGGGAGGGAGGGAGGGAGAGAGAGAGAAAGAGAGGAGGAGGAGAAAGAAGGAGAAAGGGAAGGCGGAGAAGGAGAGAGAAGGAGGAGACATAGAAGGAGGAGGAAGACATGGAGAAGGAATTAGAAGGTAGAAGAGGAGGAGTGGAGGAGATGGAGAAGAAGAAGAGGAAGAAGAGAAGAGAGCAAAGGAGGAAGAGGAAGGAGGAGATGGAGGAGGAGGAAGAGAAAAATAAGATGGAGGAGGAACGAGGAAGAGGACAAGAAAAAGTAGAAAGAAAGCAGAGGAGGGGGAGGAAGAGGAGGAAGAGAAGAAGGCGAGAAGGAAGAGAACACAGAGAAGAAGAAGACAGGAGGAGGAGGATGTGGAGGAGATGGAGAAGAAGTAGAAGGAAGAGAAGAAGGTGAAGAGGGCAAAGGAGGAGGAAGAGGAGGAGAAAAAGGGAGAGAGGAAGAGAAGATGGAGAAGAAGAAGACAGGAGGAAGAGGATGTGGAGGACATGAAGAAGAAGAAAGAAGAAGAGAAGGTGAAGAGGGCAAAGGAGAAAGAGGAAGAAAAGGAGGAAAAAAGAAAGAGAAAGGGGAGGGGAGGAAGAGGAGGTGGAGAGGAAGAGAAGAAGAAGGAGAGAAGGAAGAGAAGATGGCGAAGAAGACAGGAGGAGGAGGATGTGGAGGAGATGGAAAAGAAGGAAGAGAAGAAGGCGAAGAGGGCAAAGGAGGAGGAAGAGGAGGAGAAAAAGAAAGAAAAGGAGAAAGGAGAAGAGAAGAAGGAAGAGAAGATGCAGAAGGAAAGACAGAAGGAAAAAAAGGAGGAGGAGAAGAAAAACAAGGCTTAAAACACCTTTCTGCAATTAGAATTAGCCTTAGAAATTATTAAGAATTACTGCCTTTTAAAAAAAATAAATAGCGAAAGTTTATTTTTAAGCCATTCTCCATCCCTGTGGGATTGCTGACGTAACACCCCCTCCTCTTTTCAAGGAAACTTTTCCTTCTACAAAAAATGAAGACAAAAAGGGGACGATTCCACAACCTGTTTGGGGGTCTATGTTACCCAGGGATCCCACTTTGACCCCTGTAACATACCCCGGTCAGAGTTCTTCCTTTCAAATGTGATCACTCCTTTTTGTGGGTCGCTTTTAGAGAGGCACATTCCTTTCTAAGGGTTGTATCCAGTGGTGGAATTCAATTTTTTTTTTACTACGTAAAAAGCGTAGCTTGGTGGCCGTGGTGTGGCTTGGTGGCCGTGGCAGGGGAAGGATGTTGCAAAATCTCCATTCCCTCCCCACTCCTGGGGTAATGATACTGCAAAATCCCCATTCCCACCCCACTCCAGGGGAAGGATATTGCAAAATCTCCATTCCCTCTCCACTCCAGGGGAAGGATACTGCACAATCTCCATTCCCTCCCCACTCCAGGGGAAGGATACTGCACAATCTCCATTCCCTCCCCACTCAAGGATATTGCAAAATCCCCATTCCCACCCCACTCCAGGGGAAGGATACTGCAAAATCTCCATTTCCTCCCCATTCCTGGGGGAAGGATATTGCAAAATCCCCATTCCCAACCCTACTCCAGGGGAAGGATATTGCAAAATCTCCATTCCCACCCCACTCCAGGGGAAGGATACTGCACAATCCTTATTCCCTCCCCACTCCAGGGGAAGAATACTGCAAAATCCCCATTCCCTCCCCACTCCTGGGGTAAGGATATTGCAAAATCCCCATTCCCACCCCACTCCAGGGGAAGGATACTGCAAAATCCCCATTCCCTCCCCATTCCAGGGGAAAGATATTGCAAAGTCCCCATTCTCTCTCCCACTCTGGGGCCAGCCAGAGGTGGTATTTGCCGGTTCTCCAAACTGCTCAAAATTTCCGCTACCGGTTCTCCAGAACCTGTCAGAACCTGCTGGATTTCACCCCTGATTGTATCTCATCAACAAACAAGAGTTTGTAGAGGGTCTTTACAGTTTGGTGTTTCATCGGCAGCCCGTTAAAAGTTTATGTTGGCTAATTTTGAAAATCCGTCCCCTTAGGAAATTTGTAGTGCTTCTTTTCGCCCATAAATTTTCCAAGAAGCGCTGAGTTGCATCAAAAAAAAAAAGAGAGAGAGATTTCTTCCCCAGCATCCATTCTTACCAAGAGTTGCAAGAATGAAAACCCGTGGCCCATTTTCCACAGCATGTTTTGGTGCTCTTCAGCCACAAAGTCAAGGGCATCTCCGCTTTCTGCTCCGAACGGCCGTCCTTACAAACCGTTTTTACGTTCACTTCCACCGTCTGCATCCTGCAAACAAAACCACGCAAAAAAAGAAAAAAAAGAAAAAAAAAGTGAAGACGAAGAATTGCCTTTCTTCTGAACATTAAGTCCTTCTTTGGGAGGCTCAACTTTGTCTAGATGTTCAAAAAAAAAAAATTGCAGTTATTCAACAATAACAACTGAACTATAATTTGGCCCTGTGGAGAATGTTGATTTTAGCCCAGGTTGATAGCAATAGCGCTTAGATTTATATACCACTTTACGGTGCTTTTACAGCCCTCTCTGAGTAGTTTACAGAGTCAGCCTCTTGCCCCCAACAATCTGGGTCCTCATTTGACCCACCTCGGAAGGACGGAAGGCTGAGTCAACCTTGAGCTAGTCAGGATTGAACTCCTGGCAGTGGGCAGAGTCAGCCTGCAATGCTGCGTTCTAACCACTGTACACCATGGATGGATGGCGCAATAGCACTAGCACTTAAGACTTATATACCGCTTCACAGTGCTTTTATAGACCTCTCTAAGCGGTTTACAGAGTCAGCCTATTGCCCCCCAACAATCTGGGTCCTCATTTGACCGACCTCGGAAGGATGGAAGGCTGAGTCAACCTTGAGCTGGTCAGGATTGATCTGCTGGTAATGGGTAGAGTTAACCTGCAATACTGCATTTTAATCACTGTGCCACCATGACTCTTAAGATAGATATAGATGGATGGAAGGATGGATGAATGAGAGAGAGGGAGAGGGAGACAGGGAGAGGGAGAGAGAGAGAAGGAGGGAGAGAGAGAGAACAGACAAACAGACATAGAGACATTCTAACCACTGCCACCATGATAGATAGATAGATGATAGATAGATAGATAGATAGATAGATAGATAGATAATAGACAGACATAGAGACAAATAGCAATAGCCCTTAGACTTATATACCACTTCACAGTGCTTTTACAGTCCTCTCTAAGCAGTTTACAGAATCTGCCCATTGCCCCCAACAATCTGGGTCCTCATTTTACCCACCTCGGAAGGACGGAAGGCTGAGTCAACCTGAGTCAGGATCGAACTGATGACGGTGGGCAAAATTAGCCAGCAATACTGCATTTTAACCACCGTGCCACCACGATAGATGATAGATAGATAGATAGATAGATAGATAGATAGATAGATAGATAGATAGTTTAAATAGATAGATTAAATTGATAGACAGACAGCAATAGCCCTTAGACTTATATACCGCTTCACAGTGGTTTACAGCCCCCTCTAAGCGGTTTACAGAGTCAGCCTCTTGCCCCCCAACAATCTGGGTCCTCATTTGACCCACCTCGGAAGGACGGAAGGCTGAGTCAACCTTGAGCCGGTCAGGATCGAACTCCTGACGGTTGGCAGAATTAGCCTGCAATACTGCATTCTAACCACTGTGCCACCATGGCAGATAGGTAGGTAGGAAGGTAGGAAGGTAGATAGATTAGACAGAGAGAGATGGATAGATAGCAATAGCAGTTAGACTTATATACCACTTCACAGTGTTTCACAGTAAGCGGTTTACGGAGTCAGCCTATTGCCCCCCCCCAACAATCTGGGTCCTCATTTTACTGACTTCAGAAGGACAGAAGGCTGAGTCAACCTTGAGCCGGTCAGGATCGAACTGCTGGCAGTGGGCAGAATTTAGCCTGCAATACTGCATTCTAACCACCGCGCCACCACGGCTCTCGATTCCAAAATGCAAACTTTTAAATAGGCGTGAAGCCTGTTTCTGCTCCAACCTCAGGGAAGGGAGGAGGACTTATTTTTGTGGCCTTCTAACCCCTTCCCTCCATCTCCCAACAAATCATACCTAGTCTCGCCCGGTGGACTCTGTTGCAGCCACAGGATGTGACCCACGTTTCCAGATTCTTTGTGGGAATCCAGGCACATCTCCACCTTGTGGGAATGGACTTCTACCTCTAGATACGACTCGGCGTTGAAATTCTGCGCCAAGAGGCAATCTTCGTTTGCGCTGGGCGCTGACACAAAGAGAGAAATTATGAGCCTTTCCAAAGAGTTGTGATTTCTCCACCATCTTCACGCCAGCAGAGCTGGTAGCAGATTCGGACAGTGAGGAGGTTGGGGAGAAACATGGACCAGCCCTGGAGTCTGGGGAGGGCTCTGACAAGGGTAGAGGCTCGGGGAGGGCGAAAAACCGGCCTACTGGAGGTTCGGGAAGGTTTCTGGCCTCCAGAGGGCCTCCGGAGCCTGGGGAGGCCGTTTTCGCTCTCCCGGAGGCTCAAGGAAAGCCTCTGGAGCCCGGGGAGGGCAAAAACGCTGTCGCCCCCACCGTGGTGCAGGAGGCTGACTAGGCCACGCCCACCATGGCCACGCCCACCCAGCAACCGTCCCAGCATCCTTGTGGTCAGGTGATCAAAATTGGGATGCTCGGCAACGGGCTCATGGTTATGGCGGTTTGCGGTGTGTTGGCGTCACACGATCCCCTTTTGCGACCGTCTGGTAAGCAAAGTCAAGGGGGAAAGCCAGATTCGCTTAACAATTGGGTTACTCACTTAACAACTGCGGTGATTCACTTAGCAACTGTGGCAGGGAAGGTTGTAGGATGGGGTCAAAACTCACTTAACAAATGTTTCACTTAGCAATGTACATTTTGGGCTCAATTGTGTTGTGAGCCGAGGACTACCTTAGGTGGATGGATGGATGGATGGATGGATGGATGGATGGATGGATGGATGAATGAATTGGATGGATGGATGGATGGATGGATGGAAGGATGAATGAATGCATGAATTGGATGGATGAATTGGAAGGATGGATGGATGGATGGATGGAACGAATGGATGGATGGATGGAAGAATGAATGAATTGGATGGATGGATGGATGAATTGGAAGGATGGATGGATGGATGGAACAAATGGCTGGATGGAAGGATGAATGAATGAATTGGATGGATGGATGATTGAATTGGAAGGATGGATGGATGGATGGATGAATTGGAAGGGTGGATGGAAGAATTGGATGGATGGATGGATGGATGGGTGGGTGGGTGAATGGGATGGATGGATGGATGAATGAATGAAGGATGGATGAATTGGATGAAAGGATGGATGAATGAATTGGATGGATGGATGGATGAATGAATGAAATGAATGGATGAATTGGATGGAAGGATGGATGGATGGATGAATTGGATGGATGGGATGGATGGATGAATTGGATGAAAGGATGGATGGATGAATTGGATGGATGGATGAATGAATGAAATGGATGGATGGATGAATTGGATGAAAGGATGGATGGATGGGTGAATTGGATGGATGGGATGGATGGATGAATTGGATGAAAGGATGGATGGATGGATGAATTGGATGGAAGGATGGATAGATGAATGAAATGAATGAATGAATCAATGAATTGGATGGAAGGATGGATGGATGGATGGATGAAATGGATGGATGGATGAATTGGATGAAAGGATGGATGAAAGGATGGATGGATGAAAGATTTGGGAAGGGGGCAAAATCTCTACTGAGCAAGGTTTTAACAATACCCACCTCTCCCTACTTGGAACAGAATCCGTTGAGGATCTTCCAACTCCGCGAAGGAAGAGACCCCACCATACGTTTCCTTGGCCCACCTCAAAAGTTGCTTGCTGGAGTAAGGTAGGAGGATTTCGGTGGAGTTATGGTTGAAAGGAGGCATGACGTAGCTACGAGAACTCTGCAGAAACAACACGAATAAGGAGAATGATGTTGATATATAGGCAGTCCTTGACTCAAGACAGTTCATTTAATGACCATTCACAACTGCAAAAGCATCAAAAAAAAGTGTCTTATCATCCTTTTCACACTTACGACCGGGCAGCATCTCCCCACGGTCAATTCAAACACTTGGCCGCCGACTCATATTTATGACGGTCGTCGTATCCCGGAGTCACACAATCCCTCTTTTGTGACCTGACAAGAGGGAAGCCAGATTCACTTAACAATCTTGCAACTCTCTTCATAACTGCTGTGATTCACTTAACAACGGTGCCGTGAAAGGTCACAAAAGGAGGCAAAATCCAAACTTTCTCACTTAGCGACAGAAATTTTGGCCTCAATTGTTGTCGTAAGTCGAGGACTACCTGCTGTAGAACTCAGTTCGCAAATAGTTCTCCCATGTGGTGGAAGTGACTTTAGCTTCCATGCAGCTAATACAAAAGATGCATTTTTTCGTGTTTTTGAAACTTGGACCTCTTAATTCTAGTTTATTTACAGTAGTTATTAATAATAAAAACCTTTGAGCAACATCATTCTTGCTTATTTCCAATAGTTATTTAATATCGACCAACGGCAAATTTTTCTACCAATCTTAGTTATTTACAATGCTTACTTAATGTTAAGCAAGCTTCATAACATTTCGGCAACCATTAATAGACATAGAATAATTATTAATGATGGTTAATATTAATTTATACAGTGCCTGACTATCTATTCTGGGAGGTTTACAAAGTGTTTTTAAAAACAAGGAATTGAAAAAAAACAACATCAAGGAAAGAAAAACGGAAAGAAAGAAGGAAGGAAAGAAAGACAGACAGAAAGAAAGGAAGAAAGAGAAAAAAAGAAAGAAAGAAGGAAAAGGAAAGAAAGAAAGGGAAAGAAAGAAAAGAAAGGAAGGAAGGAAGGAAAGAAAGACAAAGAAAAGAGGGAAAGAAAAAGAAAAAGAGAAAGAAAGAAAGGAAAGAAGGAAAAGAAAGAAAAAAAGGAAGGAAGGAAAGACAGAAAGAAAGAAAAGAGGGAAAAAGAAATAAAGAAAGGAAGGAAAGAAAGAGACAAAGAAAGAAAAAAGGGAAAGAAAGAAAAAAAGGAGGGAAAGAAAGAAAAAAGAAAGAAAGAAAGAAAGATGGCAGAGAAAACAACCTATTTAATTTTGATTATTTGGGTTTTGACTATTGCCGTCACCCCCGTATATCTGAAAATAATAACACATCTTTTAAAAAGAAACTGGTGGCAGTTCCAGAGCTTTGGGAACCGAAAAATAAAAATGAGAATCTAGGACTATGATGGTGAACCTATGCCACGCGTGCCACAGGTGGCACGCGGAGCCATTATCGGTGGGCACGTGAGCATTGCCCTAGCTCAGCTCCCGCACATATGTGCGCACCGGCCAGCTGATTTTCAGGCCTTCTACTCCCACCGGAAGTTGGCAAATGGGCCATTTCTGGCCTCCGGGGGAATGGGGAAGGCTGTTTTAGCCCTCCCCAGGCTCCAAGAAAGCCTCTGGAGCCTGGGGAGGGCGGAAAACGGGCCCACTGAGCCCACCGTGCGATTGCGGGGAGGGCAGGGTGTTGTGTGCGTATGCACGGGGGGCGGGGTGCACTGAATTATGGGTGTGAGCACGACCCCCGCACTCCCCCTGCTTTTGGCACACGATGGCAAAAAGTTTAGCCATCACTGATCTAGGATACTACAGCCTGCAAACCAGGAGCTGATGACACCCGGATTACTGGTGTAAAAATACCAGATGTTTTCCAAGCGACGAAAAGCTTGAAATACAGGTAGTCCTTGATTTACGACCAAAAACCAAGTCCAGCATTTATGTCGCTAAATGAAATACTTGTTACGTGAATTTTGCACCCATTTTACGAGCTTTCTTCCCACCGTCGCTACGCGAGTCATCGGGGTTGTTCAGTTAGTCACACGCTCGTGACGTGAATCCGACTTCCCAGTTGACTTTGCTTGTCCGAACGTCGCAAAAAAAGGGGACGAACCCCGTCATAAATACAAGCCAGTTGCCGAGCGTCAGAATTTGGAGCACGGGGAGCCTTCGACAGTCATAAGTGTGAATAACGATCTTAAGTCCCCTTTTTTTTTTCTGGTGCTGTTGTGACTTTTGGTGCCGGATTCCCTGTATAAAAAGTTCCTTTTGTTAAAAGATTTTTCAGCCCAGCGCTGAAAATTTCCCACTTTTGGGCTGCGAAATCGTCCCCGGATATTTTTGATTTTAAAGTGACGCGTGCGCGAGTGTGTGTGGCTCATAAGACAATTTGCTATTTTTGAGGTTTTTTTGCTCTGGCGTTTTCTGCATTTCTCCCCCCCCCTTCTGGAAATATCCTTGGATTTCATCCCGCAGGATGAAAGCCGCAGCGAGAGAGACTTTCTGGGAGGAAAGCTAATCTCCTTCTAGGATCAAAGGGATTTTATATCCCATTGTTGTCTGCTGGGACTCCCGAAAAGAAAAGAAAAAAAAAAAAGAAATCTTGGCGTCATCCAGCATCAATCCGGAGAGGTCGGCCACCTTCAAAACAGGCCTTTGTAAGGGGGGGGGGAGTAGAAAGAGGCTTGCGAGGAGGGAGTAGAGCATCCCTTCCCTCTCTCCTCCCCCCAAAATAGTTTTGCAATTTCCCCCTTTAAAAATAATAACAATAATAGTGATAAAACACGGCCCCCGTTTTCTTAAAGGAGGCTGAATTTTTTGCTGGTGTTTCGGTTTAGTTGAATGAATGAGTCAGGCAGGCTGGTAAATCCGTTTTGGGGAACGGATGAGGACTGTTTTCGCTTTAGCAAGGAGGTTAGGAAACTACCTTTAAGCTTTATTCTTTCTTTCTTTCTTTCTTTCTTTCTTTCTTTCTTTCTTTCTTTCTTTCTTCTTTCTTTCTTTCTTTCTTTCCTTCCTTCCTTCCTCCCTCTTCTCCCTCTTTCTGTCCTCTTTTTTCTTTCTTCCTTCCTTGTTTTGTTCCACCCTCTCCCTTTCTCTCTCTCTCTATCTTTTTTCTTCCTTCCCTTTGCCTTCCTTCCTCCTTCCTTCCTTCCTTCCTTTTTCTCTCTCTCTTTCTGTCCTCTTTTTTCTTTCTTCCTTCCCTTTCTCTTCCTTCCTCCTTCTTTCCTCCTTCCTTCCTCTTTCTCTCTCTCTCCTTCTGTCCTCTTTTTCCTTTCTCCCTTCCCTTTCCCTTCCTTCCTCCTTCCATCCTCTTTCTCTCTCTCTCTTTCTGTCCTCTTTTTCCTTTCTCCCTTCCCTTTCCCTTCCTTCCTCCTTTCTTCCTTCCTTTTTCTCTCTCACTTTCTGTCCTCTTTTTTCTTTCTTCCTTCCCTTCCTTCCTCCTTCCTTCCTTCTTTCCTTCCTCCCTCCCCCTCTCTCTTTCTGTCTTCTTTTTTCTTCTTTCCCTTTCCCTTCCTTCCTCCCTCCATCCTCTTTCTCTCTCTCTCTTTCTCTCTTCTTTTTTCTTTCTCCCTTCCCCTTCCCTTCCTTCCTCCTTCCATCCTCTTTCTCTCTCTCTCTTTCTGTCCTCTTTTTTCTTTCTCCCTTCCCTTTCCCTTCCTTCCTCCTTCCTTCCTTCTTCCCTCCCTCCCTCCCTCCCCCTCTCTCTTTCTGTCTTCTTTTTTCATCCTGCCCTTTCCCTTCCTTCCTCCTTCCATCCTCTTTCTCTCTCTCTCTCTTTCTCTCTTCTTTTTCTTCCTTCCTTCCTTTTCCCTTCCTTCTTCTCCCCCCTCTCACCTAGGAAGGTAAGAGTCTCACAATTAAGTTACTCAATTGTTACATTATAGAACGCTCAGGGAGCAATCAATCAATACATTAAAATTATCCGTTGCTTCCCAGCCCTTTAATAATTTCCTTTGGCTTTTTAAAATTCATTCGGATTTTAGTTCCATGAAATTGGACTTAAGGCTTCGGGAAGGAGGAGAGGCCAGCTGGGAATGAATCAATCAATCAATCAATCTATCTATCTATCTATCTATCTATCTATCTATCTATCCATCCATCTATATCTATCTATCATCCATATCTATCTATCTATATCTATCTATCATCCATACCTATCTATCTATCTATCTGTCAGTCTGTCTGTCGGTCTGTCTGTCTATCTATCTATCTATCTACCATCTACCTATCTCTGTCTCTATCTTTCTCTCTCTCTCTCTCTTTCCCTTCCTCCCTTCTTTCTCTTTCTTTCTTTCTTTCTTTCTTTCTTTCTTTCTCTCTCTCTCTCTCTCTCTCTCTCTCTCTCTCTCTCTCTCTCTCTCTTTCTCTGCGTCCCTCTCTTTTTTCTCCCTCTCTTCTTTCTTTGGTTCTCTCTGTCCCTCTCTTTGTCTTTCTCTCTCTCCGTCCCTCTCTTTCTTTCTTCTTTCTTTATCTTCTCCCTTTGTCCCTCCCTTTTCCTCCCTCCCTTTCTCCCTTTTTTCCTCCTTTCTTTCCCTCCTTTCTCTCTTCCTTCCTTTCCTAATTGCATGATTCTTCCCTCCCTCCCTCCCTCCCCCAACTCCGAGACTTTTCCACGACCCAGTGAAAAGCAGAACTTGGCACCGTCTGACCAAGCAGGAATCCTAGTTTTGATTTGGCAACTCGTTGAGGTTTGTTTTTTTCCCCCCAGAATCTGGACATTCCCCATCTCTGCCCGTAATCTGCCCCCCCCCCGCCCTGTCCTTCTGCCCGCCAACCACTTCAATTTGAGTACATCCTGGCACCCACCACTCTCTTGCCCCCCTCCCCGGCCGGACTCAGCATGGCGAAGGCAAACCGGCGAGGTTGGCTGGCATGAGCCGATGGTGCCATGCTCAATCTGATAGCGGCTTGTGCCTGAATTCCCTCCCATCCTCATTGTCAGCCCTTTTTTTATTATTAGACACAAATAGGAAAAAGTTTGTTTTTTTTAAAAAGAAAAAAAAATGCGGTAACAAACTGCCCCGGGCAAAGCGTGAGCCGGCTGGAGCCGAGGCCCAGAGGAAATGGGTCATTTTTCCGATTTTCTGTGCGTCACAGAAAACCCGGGAGCTGAAAGGGAAACAGACGCCACGGAGTCGAGCAAAGAGATTGAGCGACGGGAGAGAGACTCAACTTCGCGCCTCCGTTTAGACGGGCAAAGCTACTAGGAGATTGGAGACAGGCTGCCGGTCGGCCTCCCTACCCCAAAGGGTTGTTGTGTGCAAATATATATATCGCGCAATCTTCAGTTCTTGTTTCATCGGTTGAGGGCCTCGGATGCACGGCTGGCTTGCATGCCTTTGGTCCCAAATTTTACAATATCCAAACGAGTCCTGAGTAAAGGTAAAGGTAAAAGTTCCCCTCGCACGTCTGTGCTAGTCGTTCCCGACTCTAGGGGGCGGTGCTCATCTCCGTTTCAAAGCCGGAGAGCCAGCGCTGTCCGAAGACATCTCCGTGGTCATGTGGCCGCATGATTCAACGCCAAAGGCGCACGGAACGCTGTTGCCTTCCCACCAAAGGTGGTCCCTATTTTCCTACTTGCATTTTTTAAGTGCTTTCGAACTGCTAGGTTGGCAGAAGCTGGGACAAGGAACGGGAGCTCACCCCGTTACATGGCGCTAGGGATTCGAACCGCCAAACTGCCAAACTTTCTGATCAACAACCTCAGCGTCTTAGCCACTGAGCCACCGTGTCCCACATGTGACTTCATTAGCTTGTCTTAAATGTCATTTACGTCAGGGGTCGTAGCCACTGAGCCACCCTTTTAAATAGTTTTAAATAGTTTAAAATAGTTTTAAATAGTTTTAAATGAAGGAATCAAATCTGAGCCTTTGAAAAATCAAAAGCAGAACTGGCACACTCCTTCACCCTCTTCATCCTTTTCCCTACTCAATTCCCGAGGGCTGGAATAGATGACCTCAAGGGTTGCTCCCGACCCCACAAATTCTACCGCCAAAGCGGAACTCAAGATTATTAGTAGGAGGGCAGTGAGTCTCCAAGATGGAGACGAAGATTCCCATCCAACGTCCCTTTTGCCACCGAAAGGGCCTGCGGAACTCCAGTCCACCAGGTCCAAAATCCTAGCATTGCCCACCTGCCTGTGGATGGCTACTCACGTGAATGACGACGGGGTGGCAATCTTCGTCTGAATGGATTGTCAGGACGAAGCTGCTGTTGGAGTTCAGAACGAAGATGGCTTTGCAGTCGTCTCTGGCTGCCCCCGAAGAGACGTTGAGCTGGAGAGTGGACATCTAGGAGAAGAAGAGAGACAGGGCGGCTGTTGCATTTCTGGGCATGGTAGAAGCCACCGATATCGGGGAGAAGGTTCAGAGACACCCCACATCTTCCAAAAAGAGAGTTGAGGTTGGGAAGACACCCTTCCCCTCCCCCCAAGGTTTGAAGACCAGTTCTGTAATGCGGAAAGATTTTGCAATATCTCTTTCTCCAGCCAGCTAGCCATCATCCATTCATTCTGTCTGTCTCTGCCTGCCTGCCTGCCTATCTATCTATCTATCTATCTATCTATCTATCTATCTATCTATCATCCACTCAACTTGTCTGTCTTCCTTCCATCCATCCACCCACCAATCCATCCATTCAACTTGTCTATCTGTTGTCTGTCTGTCTCTATATCTATCTATCTATCTATCTATCTATCTATCTATCTATCTATCTATCTATCTATCATCCACTCAACTTGTCTGTCTTCCATCCACCCATCTACCAATCCATCCATTCAACTTGTCTATCTGTTGTCTGTCTGTCTGTCTCTATATCTATCTATTATCTATCTATCTATCTATCTATCTATCTATCTATCTATCATCCACTCAACTTGTCTGTCTTCCATCCACCCATCTACCAATCCATCCATTCAACTTGTCTATCTGTTGTCTGTCTGTCTGTCTCTATATCTATCTATCTATCTATCTATCTATCTATCTATCTATCTATCTAACTATCTATCTATCATCTATCATCCACTCAACTTGTCTGTCTTCCATCCACCCATCTACCAATCCATCCATTCAACTTGTCTATCTGTTGTCTGTCTGTCTGTCTCTATATCTATCTATCTATCTATCTATCTATCTATCTATCTATCTATCTAACTATCTATCTATCATCTATCATCCACTCAACTTGTCTGTCTTCCATCCACCCATCTACCAATCCATCCATTCAACGTGTCTATCTGTTGTCTGTCTGTCTGTCTCTATATCTATCTATCTATCTATCTATCTATCTATCTATCTATCTATCTAACTATCTATCTATCATCTATCATCCACTCAACTTGTCTGTCTTCCATCCACCCATCTACCAATCCATCCATTCAACGTGTCTATCTGTTGTCTGTCTGTCTGTCTCTATATCTATCTATCTATCTATCTATCTATCTATCTATCTATCATCTATCATCCACTCAACTTGTCTGTCTTCCATCCACCCATCTACCAATCCATCCATTCAACTTGTCTATCTGTTGTCTGTCTGTCTGTCTCTATATCTATCTATCTATCTATCTATCTATCTATCTATCTATCTATCTATCTATCTATCATCTACTCAACTTGTCTGTTTATGTGTCTAGCTGGCTAGATGGCTGGCAATCCGCCACGTCTCTCTTTCTCCAGTTCGGTTCAAAGCCACTCGCCTTCTCGAAAACTAGATTGCCGTCTGTGCAAAACAGACGGGCCGTCCTTCGATGGCGCCTCTCGGCTCCGACTCTAGTGCCCTTCCCCATCCTCCCCCCCTGGCCGCACAATTCTTGCAAACCCACCCCTCGGATGGAGAATGGAGGGTGAGACCTGGACACCCCCCCCCCATCCCAAGCGAGAAACCCAAACAAACAGGAATAACAAGAGCCAGCCCCACAGAATGCCTTCGGGCCCCCATCGAGGGCACAAGCCCAGGGGTCAAACGGCGAGCAGGGAAGGCTTTGCTTCTATTTTTACCACCCCACTTCATCCTCCCCCACTCGGGAGCCATTGTTCCTCCCTTGGAGAACTCAGCAAGATTTCTTCTGCCTCCTTCGGCTGGGAGATCTGCTTATAGAAATCGGCTTCCAGTAATTCTTTCCCATTTGGAGACAGCCTTCTCGGCCCAGCGGCCACTTGTCTGAATGCCACAGCCGTGACATCAGAGGAGCCTCCTGTCGCAACCTGACTTGGGGGGGGGGACCAGCCTGGGCAGCTGATGGAAGACCGTGAGGGGGTGAACTGGGCCGGGTGCCCCAGCCGTAACCACCTCTTCAGACCAGGTCTCTGGGATCCTTGGTGCTCTCTGAGCTTACAGGCTTGACTAGGTAACATTCCAGCACTGATTGGGTTCCCTAGCTGGGTCACGACACATCTTCAAGGAAACCACCGAGCTCAGAGAGCAACAAGGACCCCACAGTCCCTCTTTTTCCACTCCGTAGCATTGATGATGTGCCCTAATTGGGTCATGAAAGAAAACAGGCAAGGTCAGAGAGCACCAAGGACCCCCAAATTATAGTCTTACTACTACTACTCCTCTCCACATACCCCATGCCCTTCTAGCACTGATGATATCCCCTAGTTGAGTAATGAAATGTCTGCAAGAAAACAGCTAAAGTTTTCTTAGGAAGACCTCCCCCCCAAATTTTCCTCCTCCTCCTCCTCCTCCTCCTCCTCCTCCTCCTCTTGTCCCCCAGCCTCTGGCTTTTCCTCCTCCTTCTCTCCCCTCCTCCTTTTCCTCCTCCCTTCTAGCACTGATGTTGTTACCTAGTTGGGTCATGAAAGATCTGCGAGAAAACAACCAAGCTCAGAGAGCACCAAGGATCCCACAATCTCCTCCTCCTCCTCCTCCTCCTCCTCCTCCTCCTCCTCCTCCTCCTCCTCCTCCTCCTCCTCCTCCTCCTCCTCCTCCTCACAGGAATCCCCACTCCCTTCTAACACTGATGATGTTACCTAGTTGGGTAATGAAAGATCTGCGAGAAAACAATCAAGCTCAGAGAGCACCAGGGACCCCACAATTTTCCTCCTCCTCCTCCTCCTCCTCCTCCTCCTCCTCCTCCTCCTCCTCCTCCTCCTCCTCCCGTTCCTCCTCCTCCTCCTCACACGAATCCCCACTCCCTTCTAACACTGATGATGTTACCTAGTTGGGTCATGAAACATTTGCAAGAAAACAATCAAGCTCAGAGAGCACCAGGGATCCCACCATCCTCCTCCTCCTCCTCTCTACAAACCCTCCTCCCTTCTAGCACTGACGATATCCCCTAGTTGGGTAATGAAAGGTCTGCAAGAAAACAGCTAAGGTCAGAGAGCACCAGGGATCCCCAAAATTCTCCTCCTCCTCCTCCTCCTCTCACCCCAATTTAAAAGGCCTGTGGATTGGGGGTGAAGTAAGATCATAAGCACCGTTGCAGTTTCATTTAGCAAATGCTTTATTCAGCGACCGATTGCAATCGCTAAGCGAGGACTCTTGTCATTTCAAAAGGCAGGCTCAAATGAAAGCAATCTTGAAAGTGGGAATGGCAGATAAACCAATTTGGGGAGGGGATGTGGATTTGAAAGAAGACCCCCGCTTGGGGGGAGGGCTCGCCAGATCAGCTACTCACCTGGGATCTGCTGTATTTCAGATTCAGAACATGGACCTCCAGCTCGGGATCGATCGGACCGCGGGCCTCGCAACCGTTGGCCACCACACTGGTTGTGTAGAAGACGTTGACCGCCTGGTCTCTGCTGATGGGCTCCGGAACACATCCCAAGGAATTCAACACACCTAGGAAGGTAAGAATCTCACAATGAATTCTGCTCAATTGTTACCTTATTGAGCACTCAGGGAGCCATCGGTCAATACATTGGATTCATCCGTTGCTTCCCGGCCCTTGAATCGTTTCCTTTGGCTTTTTAAAACGAAGATACTGAATTCATTCTCATTTTAGTTCCATGAAATTGGACTTAAGGTTTGGGGAAGAAGGAGGTGAGCTGGGAAGCAATCTTTTTCTTTCTTTCTTTCTTTCTTTCTTTCTTTCTTTCTCTTTCTTTCTTTCTTTCTTTCTTTCTTTTGTCCTTCCTTCCTTCCTTCCTCTCTCTCTTTCTTTCTTTCTCTCTTTCTTTCTCTTTCTTTCTCTCCCACTCTCTTCTTCATTTTCTCCCACTGTCCCTCACTTTTCCTCCCTCCCTCCCTTTCTTTCTTTCTTTCTGCATTTCTTTCTGCATTTCTTTCTTTCTTCCTCTCTCTCTCTCTCTCTCTTTCTCTCCCTCTCTCTTCTTCATTTTCTCCCTCTGTCCCTCACTTTTCCTCCCTCCCTCTTTCTTTCTTTCTTTCTTTCTTCCTCCCTCCCTCCCTCCCTCCCTTCCTTTCTTTCTTTCTGTATTTCTGTATCTCTCTTTCTCTCTCTCTCTCTCTTTCTCTTTCTTTCTCTCCCTCTCTCTCTTCTTCATTTTCTTCCTCTGCCCCTCACTATTCCTCACATGACAATGACAGCAATACGAGCCAGTTATATCGAAAATTTTTTTTATTGATTGTAGGAAAGATGAGCTGAATTAGAGAGGAGCTATCTTATTTGGGTTATCTAGTCTTGGCAACTTAGCTATTGAAATCTGATATTGTAAAATTTTAATGTCATATATCATATATTTTTAGATCGTTATTTTTGTAACTGTTTTGTCTTTTTCCCTTTTTCTTTTCTGTTTTGTTTGAAAAGGCCTTCGGGCTATTCAATAAACAAAAATACCAGAAAAATACCACTATTCCTCCCTCCCTCCTTCCCTCTTTCTTTCTTTCTCTCTCTCTCTCTCTCTCTCTTCCTTCCTTCCTTCCTTCCTCCCTTCCTTCCTTTCTGTATTTCTCCCTTTCTTTCTTATTTTCTTATTTCTTTTTCTCTTCTTTGTTTCTTTTCAGTTTCTTACTTTCTTACTAACTTATGTGCTCATTCATTCATTCATTCAACTTGTTTGCTGCCTATCTCACTGCAAGCTGACTCGGCTTACAACATCAAAATAAAACCACACATATCAGTAACCAATGAATAAAACCGCAACAAAAAGGCAGATTGGAACTAAAACCAGAGAATAGGGAGGAAAGGAGCGGGGTGGGTGGGTGTGAGGCAGGAGCTGCCCTTGGTCGAGCCACCCCTTAAATCCGATTTTGTGAAATTGAGGGCGTCCTGAGTTGAACTGAGCTAGAGAAAGAACTGAACCAAGCTTGCCGGGCTAAAATCTGCACCGCCAGGAGATGCTTGAACCTGGTGCACTAAACGGAGATTGAAGAATCCATGTTCAAGCAGGATGCCCAAGCTCCCTTCCCCGCCTCGCCCGACGCGGAGTCGTCCACTCGACCATTGTCCTGAATTTCCTCCGAGGACCAACCTAGGCCAGTCCCAGCCCAGCAGCATCAGAGGAAGACAAACAAGAGACTTATCTGGCCTCCGCAGCCTGCGTCACCCTTCCCCTCTCGGAGCCCGTCTAGAAAAATAACCCGACGGGACAAGACACCGCAAAAAAAAGAAAGGCCCAGCCTCATGGCTACACAGGATTCTGCAGACAAGTATCTGTTTACGTTATTCCCCAGGCGCCAAAGAACTCTGTGTGAGTTGAGCTCAGAGAAAAAGGCCGTGAGATTAGATCAGCCTGGCGACGAAGGGCAAAGTCGACGGAGACGGGATTCTGCCATGGGTGGCACCGTCTGACCTCGCCAGGGGGAGGTTAAACAAGGGGGCGCAAGGAAGGAGGAGAGGTTCCAACGTGTGGGAGACTCACCAGGCTGGACCAGGGCGTGGTTTGTGGTGGCCAGAGAAACTTGAAGTTGGAGACGCAGCCCACCTCCTGTGCAACACCTTCCATCCTCCGCCTTTTTTCAGCGGAGGCTACAAAGTGGTCCACGAGGCCGGCTGTGGGTCACACGGGGCTGGTGTTGTGTGCACTGCTCAGATCTTGGCGTGGAATGATTAATCGTGACCGACAGAATGACAAAGGGATAATCGGGGATAATTAGGGAAGGAAAAGCTGCTGATGCCTTTAAATTGTAAGAAAACAAAAAGGATGGTGTTGGGAAAGGAAGTTTTTCCCCCTTCTTGGTTAGGGAATTTTCTAAGTCAGATCCTTTCAGTCATCCATCAACATCTCCTTTTTCTCTCTCTCTTTCATCTATTCATCCATCCAAATTGTATCTCTATTATCCATCCATCCATCCATCCATATTATATCTATTATCCATCCATCCATCCAAATTATATCTCTATTATCCATCCCAATTATATCTCTATTATCCACCCATCCATCCAAATTATATCTCTATTATCTATCTATCCATCCATCCATCCCAATTATATCTCTATTATCCATCCATCCAAATTATATCTCTATTATCTATCTATCCATCCATCCATCCATCCATCCATCCATCCATCCATCCCTCCCAATTATATCAATCTTATCCGTCCATCCATCCCAATTATATCAATCTTATCCGTCCATCCATCAAAGTTATATCTCTATTATCAGTCCATCTATCCATCCATCCATCCCAATTATATCTCTATTATCCATCCCAATTATATCTCTATTATCTATCTATCCATCCATCCACTCCAATTATATCAATCTTATCCGTCCATCCATCAAAGTTATATCTCTATTATCAGTCCATCCATCCATCCATCCTTCCCAATTATATCTCTATTATCCATCCATCCATCCATCCATCCAAATTATATCTCTATTATCTATCTATCTATCCATCCATCCATCCATCTATCCATCCCAATTATATCAATCTTATCCGTCCATCCATCAAAGTTATATCTCTATTATCAGTCCATCCATCCATCCATCCATCCCAATTATATCTCTATTATCTATCCATCCATCCAAATTATATCTCTATTATCCATCCATCCATCCAAATTATATATCTATTATCTATCTATCTATCCATCCATCCATCCATCTATCCATCCCAATTATATCAATCTTATCCGTCCATCCATCAAAGTTATATCTCTATTATCAGTCAGTCCATCCATCCATCCATCCATCCCAATTATATCTCTATTATCTATCCATCCATCCAAATTATATCTCTATTATCTATCCAAATTATATCTCTATTATCTATCTGTCCATCCATCCATCCATCCATCCCTCCCTCCCAATTATATTTCTGTTATGCACTACTGACCACTTCTTTAAGTTTTATATACACACACATACACTTTCTTTCTCTCGCTCTCTCTCTCTCTCACACACACACAGAGGAGAAAGAGAGAGAAAGAGAGAGAGAGAAATATATTACATTGGCCTTGTTTGCAGCTGCCTCACACCACTGGCTCCCAATCCCTGGGATTCAACATCCTTTTTGCCAGAATTCCTGCTAAACCCGACATCTCCCATTTTTATTCCTGAATCTTTATTTCTCTTTATTTCTGTTCATGTAATTCTCTTTCTCCCATCCACTGTGATCCTCCTGAAAGCTTTTTTTCTGCAAACATGAGCCATGTTCCCCCTCTTTTGTGTTTTCCGACAATCTCACAAGCGTTCTGTCCACCAACAACATCGACGAAGACGTTGATGGGGATGGGGATGGGAGTAAAAATAGATGGCTCTTTGCATTTTTTGCATTGAATTTCCTGGAAGACTTAATTCTCCATTCTTGCAAGGCATGGTTTTTAAACTATTTCTCTTTGTTTCACTTTCTTCTTCTATTCCAGATGTTAGAGATCAGAATGTGAACAGAGCGTTAGAGAAGGGGGGAAAACAGAGCAGCAATTTTGAATTTTTCTTCTTCTTCTTCTTCTTCTTCTTCTTCTTCTTCTTCTTCTTCTTCTTCTTCTTCTTCTTCTCCTTCTCCTTCTCCTCCTCCTCCTTCTCCTCAATTCTACTTCTTCTTCTTCTTCTTCTTCTTCTTCTTCTTCTTCTTCTTCTTCTTCTTCTTCTTCTTCTTCTTCTTCTTCTTCTTCTTCTTCTTCTCCTTCTCCTCCTTCTCCTTCTCCTTCTCCTTCTCCTTCTCCTTCTCCTCCTCCTCAATTCTTCTTGTTATTCTTCTCCTTCTCCTCAATTCTTCTTCTCCTCCTCCTCCTCCTCCTTCTCCTCAATTCTTCTTCTTCTTCTCTTCAATTCTTCTTCTCCTTCTCCTCCTCAATTCTTCTTCTTCTTCTTCTTCTTCTTCTTCTTCTTCTTCTTCTTTCTTCTTCTTCTTCTTCTTCTTCTTCTTCTTCTTCTTCTTCTTCTTCTTCCTCCTCCTCCTCCTCCTCCTCCTCCTCCTCCTCCTCTTCCCCTCCTCCTCCTCCTCCATCACAGGTCCTCCTCCATCTCTCGGCTTCCCTCCCAATCATTTTAAATGATATTTCCCGTCAGAATTAGGTTTCGCCCCCACAAGTTCCCATTTGTGCTCGCCAAACAGCTGGATTTCATTCAGCCTCCAAAAACATTAAGAGTCACGTTTTCAATTTCTTTTCCATTTTTTTTTTTAAATGGTGAGTGGGTGAAAATAGAGAATTTAGCACAGTCATCTCCCAAATGAACCGCATTGTCAGCTAGAGAAGTTCCCCTTTTGGGTTTTCTCAGCCTCCAGTGACCCAGGCATCATGTGGGAACAGCTGTGTCCTACCTTAAAAGGCCGTTGTTAGCCTACCTTAAAGGGAATGTGAAATTTTTACACATTTCCAAACTTTTCCTCCCTCCTTCGTGGCAAGCTGCCTTCCAATATTTTCTTTTGGAAGAAAAGAAATTGTACACCTTTCCCAAATGGTCTTTTAAAATCTTAATTTCCGGGAACCAAAAAAAAAAAAAGTTAAGATATTCAATTGAGAGAAATTGAGTAGCGCTAATAGAAGAAGATTTAATTCAGCGCCCATCACCTTCGAAAATTCAACTAAACACATTTGAGTTTAATTGACCCTTTGCAAAATTGTTCCCTTTTCCAATTTCGACTCCTGACAAATTTTATCCATGTTTTAATCATCGTCTTTTAAAACTGGTAATCTTAGCGCCGTAAAATCTCACTTCACGGAGTGTGTTTTAAATTCTCGTTTGACCAATCCAGTTTTACTGGACCCCAAACCACTTACTTTAAAAAAAAAAAAAATTTACAAAGAAGGATGGTTTGAAAATATTTTTCACCCGTCCGTAAAATAAATATTTCTAAAATTGAGAGGAATACTTCAAATATGCAGGCCCTCTTTTCACCAACGAGAAACCAGCTTGACTGCTTAAAACAATCCTTTTTTTAAAAAAATTGTATCGCATAAAACCAGCATGTAGAAATCACTTGGTATCACACGGGAACACATCCCTTAATAGATCGCGATATTTCTTTCTGGATATAAAGGAATAATTAACGAGGCTTAGAGATAATCAAATGAAGGATGATTGGATCAAGATGGAATTTGGCTTGTATTTAAAGATAGATTGCCTTTAATCATGGAAGGATCATCTAATAATCAGGCATTAATAAATCATCATATAAAGATAAGTATGATGATTTATTAATGCCTGATTATTAGATGTATTACGAAGTTATCCACATAGGGAATTGACTTCGTAATACATACAATGTACAGTACTACAAATTTTAGAATTCATTTTTAATTAGTCAGACCGTATATAATTAACACTGGATTTTATTACAGATTTTAGTTGTTATTTATTATTTTATACTAGAAGTTTTAAGTGTATATACACCGAGTGCTTTTATTTGTTCTGGTCTAAGACTGTATAATAATAAATTGAAAACATTTTTAATCCGTTTTAATCGGGGGAAATTTGAAAGCTTGGCTGTCTTGACTAGAAACGAGGGTTAAACATGGTTATAAAATAAACCGCAGTGACATGAATACAATTCGTGTTTTAGCAATTCCTAACAAAGCAGGAATAATTTGGCACCAATAATCCAGAAAGGCCAAAGACAAGAGCGCTTCAGAGCACGTGCAGAGTTCCTTAGGCTCCCTAGCTGAAAAAAACCACCTTTTTTTTGAGAAATTTAAACCAGAGAATTTGATTTTGGATTGATTTCATTGAGAAAGGAAGAGAAACTGAACTCATGGGGCAGGTTAGTTGTGTTGCGCTTTTAGCAAACTGAATTGTGATGCTTCATTTGTCGCTCCTTCTTATAGCTGCCCACCGCTTGGGTGTCCAAAAAGGAAGATCCAAGGGGGAGGCATTTATTCGGAAAATGAGATTTGGGGCCCCACAGAAGCTTTGCGCCTTGTCACTCGACGCGAACTTAAACAAACATAGCATGGTAGAACCAACTGGTTGAACGTAATATTTTAGGCTTATTTGTGAGTGAGTGTGTGTACACTTTCGCTGGTATTAGCTATGAACATTCCTTAGTTTTTGGATCGCGGAATAATTGTAAAAGAAACTGGAACGGATTTTTCTACGCAGAGCAGAGCTGGGGAGCTGGAGACCATGATTTCAACTGGTGTCCATCCAGAACTTCTTCATCAAGAGGTGAAACTCAAGTGCCTTCAGACGTTGTGGGGGCTTCATCACAGGAGGCTTTTAAGAAGAGACTGGGCAGTCACCTGTCTGAAATGGTATAGGATCTCCTGCTCGAGCAAGGGGCTGGACTAGAAGACCTCCAAGGTCCCTTCCAAGCTCTGTTATACGATTACTTCAACTGGGGTTTCTCAACCATCAATTCAATTGGGGTTCCTCAACCTTCTCAACTTTAAACCGAGTGGACTTCAACTCCCGGAATCCCCCAGCCAGCATTAGTAAGACCACACCTGGAATCCTGCATCCACATTACAAAAAACGATGCTCAGACTTTGGAAAAAGTGCAGAGAAGAGCAACTAAGAGGATTAAAGAGACTAAAGGATGGTTGCAGGACTTGGGTATGGCTGGTCTACAGAAAAGAAGGACTACTGGGGGACATGATAGCAATATTCCAATATTTGAAAGGCTGCCACCAAGAAGAGGGGCTCAATTTATTTTCCAAAGCATCAGAAGGCAAGACAAGAAACGATGGATGGAAACTAACCAAGGAGAGAGGCAACCTGGAATTAAGGAGAAACTTCCTAACAGTGAGAAGAATTAACCAGTGGAACAGAAGTTGTGGATGCTCCATCAATGGAAGTTTTTAAAAAGAGACTGGACAGCCATTTGTCTGAAATGGCATAGGGTCTTCAAGGTCATCTAGTCCAACTAGATGACCTTGAAGGTCCCTTCCATCTCTCTCCTGATTGATTGAAGTTCACCTGGCTCGAGGTTGCCAACGTTGAGTAACTAATCTCAACTCAAAGCAAGGTTGTACTTGTGAACCAAATTCTGTCTTGGTGTCTTCTACCATCCACCTACTCTATCTCAACACTTCCAAGCAGGGGAAGATATTTTGAGATTCTTCTCTGGAGCCAAGCCTGCTGAAGCTGAGAAGACAGGAAACGACTTGAAGGAACTTAAGATGGACTAGGACTTCCCTCAGATCTCATGTCTGGATCAGAGAGAAACCGAAAAAGAGACTTTTAACTCCTTGTAGCACAGTTCACCCTTCTTGAAGACAAACCCCAGAATTGGTGAAGAAGCCCAGATCGACCTCCTTCCCCAAAGAGATTACAAGCCCATCACCCCCATCCAGATGTCTCCTTCCATCTCCTCACCTTTGACAGAGTCAAGATTGCCAGGTCTTCCCCTAAACATCCCCTAAACACACTTTAAAAAAAGATGTGGAGACTCTAGAAAGAGTGCAGAGAAGAGCAACAAAGATGATTAAGGGACTGGAGGCTAAAACATACGATCAACGGTTGCAGGAACTGAGCATGGCTAGTCTAGTGAAGAGAAGGACCAAGGGAGACAGGAGAGCAATATTCCAATATTTGAAGGGCTGCCACAGAGAGGAGGAAGGGGGTCAAGCTATTTTCCAAAGCACCCGAAGGCCAGACAAGGAATAATGGATGGAAACTGAACAACGAGAGATTCAACCTGGAAATAAGGAGGAATTTTCTGACCGTGAGAACAATCAACCCATGGAACAGAAGTTGCCTTCAGAAGTTGTGGGAGCTTCATCCCTGGAAGCTTTCAAGAAGAGACTGGACTGCCATCGGTCAGAAATGGTGTAGGGTCTCCTGCTTGGGTAGGGGTTGGACTAGATGACCTACTACAAAGTCACTTCCAACTCTGTTCATCGGTATCTGTAACTGCTTCTGGATCCATTTTAGCAGATCCTACAACCCTTCTTGATGGTCTCATCGATTGACCTCAATCCCGAGATTCCTCTCCCGAATTTGGAGAGGAGGACGGGCTCTCCTTGGACCACTCACCCACCCCCCAAAAATACCCCCCAATTGTAGCATCTCCCTTTTCCGACGGGAGACTCGAGCGAGAACGGTACTTACTGGTCGTCATGGCTGCAGGGCCAGAGATGAGAAGCAGCACGGCGAAGTACCACAAATCCATCTCCCCGTGATTTGAACGGTCAGTGCGTGTCCCTTCTCCACTTGGACCCCCCTTAGCCCGTGTCCAGGGGCAAAGGGCTGGAGAAACTGGATCTCGCCTGGCTTGGTCGTTGTGCAACGGGACGAGGGACGCACAGACGGTTCAGTTCGGCTGTTCTCCACTCCAGTCTCGGTCCCTTTTCAGGAAAGGCTCAAGGGTGATGGAGCCCAGCGAGCGAGGACACGAAGCAACCAGACCGAAGTTCAACAGGTTTTGGACAAAGGCAGGCAGAGAACCTCCTTCTCGTCCTCCGAGCTCTCAAATGTCGAAATGCTCAAGCTGGGACTTCGCTCGGCTCTAATGATATGCCGGGGCAGGAAATCAGCTCCCTCTGCCAAGATTTTTGCTGCCAAAGCAAAAGAAAGGAAATGCAATTTTTTTCCCCTCCTCTTTTCTTTAGCTCTCTCTCTCTCTTTTTTTTTTTAAAGAGGAATTTTTTTTAAAAAAAGCAGCTTCAAAGGATGCCAAAAAGAAAAAGAAAAAAAAAATTCCTGCTTGACAGTGAAAAATCTCCGACGGAGAATTAAAGACGTGATTTTCGACAGGGGAACGACTCAACTTCTCCTTTCGGAGGTCACGGGGGAAGTTTTTAGGGACAAAGTTTATTCTGTTTTGGGGGGTGTTTTAAAACTCATTTTTTAAGGGGGGTCTCTCCTGGGCAGGACAGTGTAGGATGAAAACTGAAACGGGGGGGGGTCTGTTTTTTAGGCAAGAATTTATATATATTTGTTTTGCACCCTTAGGCGGCCTCTCTTTCCTCATTTCGTGCAATCTTTTTTTAATTTAGTTTAATGTAATTTTTTTGGCGGCTGAGATTAATGTGAAAGTTTACTAAAAATGATCTAGGAATTTTGCACGGGGGGGGAACGGACGAGAAGTCAAAGCTGAAGGGACGTAGCAGCAAACGCTTTCAGTCTTTACTCTTAAAGAGGATTCTTTCTCCTGCCCCCCATTCTCACAAATTCGAATCTGAACTTCATGAGGTCTAGCCGCTTCATTTCGTGTCAGCCCCTATTTTACAGTGGGAAGGTTCTAGAGCTTTTTTTTTTGGCTGGTGTTTTGGCTTATACTGTTCATGCACTAGGGCAGCCTCCTTTCAGCTCCCATTTTCACCATCTCCTGTCCTGAACTTCATGAGATCTAGCCACTTCATTCTGTGTCAGCCACTATTTTATAGTATGTTCTACAATTTTTGGGGGGGTCTGTGTGTTATGGTATAGGATTAATTCACCCGCAGGCTCCTGTTTTATTTAAAAGCTGGACCAAGGAGTGGGTTGGAAAGATTAGAAATAAGAACGTCTCCAAATGCTGCTGATGGCTCTTTTAAAACGAACAGGATTTTAATTTTAATTTTATTTTAAAATGGATTTTAAAATAGGATTATGGCAATTAGGAGCTTTCGGACAACAGTCTCCTGCCAGAAGTAATATATCTGAGTTTTCTGGCGCTGTTCAAACAGGAAATGATCACCATCTGTAAGCCGTCCAACATTCCTTTGGCCACTGTTTGGAAAATTCCACCCGGTTGGACTAAATGACCTCTGGGTTCCCCCTCAACGATGCTAAGAATATGGAACTTCTTCCCGGTCTCTTCGTGTACAGGTAGCCCTCGACTTATGTGAGCTCAACATTTGCATTGCTAAGCGGGACAAGTCAGTTTTGCCCTGTTTTAGGACCTTTTAGCGTCGCTAAAACGAACCGTCGTAAGTCAAGGACTACCTCTATTGACAGGACTTGGGGTGGGGGGAATTCCTTTTTCAGTGGAAGTCAAAAGGAAACGCTCTTTTTCCTTTGCTGCCATTAAAAATAGGAGAATTACGTTCCATTTGCCGTCGCTTTGGGAGCAAAAAACTGGAAAACAGGCGGCCCAAAAAACATTCCTTTGCATTTTTTCCGTCCCTTCCTGGAGCTCGGCAAACAATCCTCAAAAATCCAAATCCTCTCCCATGTACGGACCGCTTAACCCTCCTTGCCCACCCACCCCCCTGCAAGAATTTCCTGGATACCTCCTTGTTGTTGTTTTTCCAGAAAAACAACACACAGAGAGAAAAAAATTCCTCCCGGTATTTGGAGTTCTTGGATTTCTTTGACGCGATGGGGTTTGCAAAACTCCAATTTCCTCCCGCTTTCCTCCCCAGCTCAGCCGGCGGCCAGCGGAGAGGAAAAGAAGCAGGGAGGGTGGAAGGAAGGAGATGGCGCTGAAGGATGCCAGGAGGGCAGGCTGGGAGAAAGATAGACTGCTTTGGCACCAGGGGCTCGATCGATTCAGAGCGAGTCCCGAGTGGGTTCACTTTGGACAGGGTCCCCTATATGGCAACTTTTTTTGACCTTAGCAAGTTTAATCTCTCTCCCTGTCTCATATATTGATAATCTATCATCTATATATCTATATATGGTATCTTCTCTGTCTGTCTGTGTTATACCATCTGTCTATCTCTATTTCCTCTACATATGTCTCTCTAATTTATTATCTATCCATCAACTATATCATCTATCATCTATAACTATCTCTGTCCTCTATCATCTGTCAGTCTTTCTGTCTGGCTATCATCTATCTATCTATCTATCTATCTATCTATCTATCTATCTATCTATCTATCTATCCTTTATCTATCTACCTACCTACCTGCATCTCTCTCTCTCTTTCTTTCATAGATAGATAGATAGATAGATAGATAGATAGATAGATATGGATGGATAGAAAAATAGATAGATAGATAGATAGATAGATAGATAGATAGATAGATAGATAGATAGATGGATGGATGGATGGATGGATGGATGGATGGATGGATGGATGGATGGATGGATAGATAGTTGTGGATATATTTAAGAGGTAGGTAAGTAGGTAGAAAGATAGATAGTTGTGGATGTATTTAAGAGATAGATAGATAGATATGGATGGATAGAAAAATAGATAGATAGATAGATAGATAGATAGATAGATAGATAGATAGATAGATAGATAGAGATGGATAGATAGAAAAATACATAGATGATAGAGATGTATTTAAGAGATAGATAGATAGATAGATAGATAGATAGATAGATAGATAGATAGATAGGGATGGATGGATGGATAGAAAAATAGATATAGATAGATAGATAGATAGATAGATAGATAGATAGATAGATAGGGATGGATGGATAGAAAAATACATAGATAGATCATAGAGATGTATTTAAGAGATAGATAGATAGATAGATAGATAGATAGATAGATAGATAGATAGATAGATAGATAGATGATAGATAGATGAGATGGATGGATGGATGGATGGATGGATAGATAGTTGTGGATATATTTAAGAGGTAGGTAGGTAGGTAGGTAGGTAGAAAGATAGATAGATAGATAGATAGATAGATAGATAGATAGATAGATAGATAGATAGTTGTGGATGTATTTAATAGATAGATCGAAAGATCGATCGATCGATAGATAGATAGGGATGGATAGATAAGATAGAAAAACAGAGAGAGAGAGATGTGGATGTATTTAAGAGGTAGGTAGGTAGGTAGGTAGAGAGAGAGAGAGAGATAATCTATCTGAGTAGAATAGAGCTGGAAGGGACCTTGGAGGTCTTCTAGTCCAGCCCCCTCCTCAAGCAGGAGAACCTATATCATTTCAGACAAGTGACTGTCCAGCCTCTTCTTAAAAAAGCCTCCAGTGATGAAGCACCCACAACTTCTGGTGGCAAGCTGTTCCACTGGTTAATTGCCCTCACTGTTAGGAGGTTTCTCCTTAATTCCAGGTTGCTTCTCTCTTTAATTAGTTTTCCCTCCCTCCCTCCCTCCCTCTATCTATCTATCCCCATTTTATGACCTTTCTTGCCACAGTTGTTAAGTGAGTCACTGCAGTTGTTCAATGAGTAACAAGTTGTTCAATGAATCCGGCTTTCCTCTTGATTCTGCTCGAAAGGGGGAATCACACACGATCCCGGGACACTGCAACCGTCATAAGTACGAGTCAGTTGCCAAGCCCCTGAATTTAGATCCTGCTATTACGGTCGTAAAGCGTGGGGGGGGGGGAAAAAACCAATCGCAAGTCCCTTTTTTTTCCAGCACCATTGTGACTTCGAACAGTCGCTAAACGACCGTTGTAAGTCGGGGACCACCTGTAATGGATGAGAAAGTTGCCATTCGGCGCCGGGAGCGGGCGGAAAACTTTGAAGGCTGGAGAAAGAATCGGAGCCGCGAACTCCCCAATTTGGGCTGTCTCTTAAACGGCCAATTGCTTCTCCTTCTCCTGACCCCAAGAGATGCTTCGGTCCAGACAGAGAGGCATCCTTGTGGAATGGGGCAGGGCGGGGCGGGGGAGGGGGGGCAAAGGATGCACGCGTGTGAGGAAATGGGGGGGGGTGTCACATCCTCCTGCCCCGACATTCCAGCCACGTGCCGTGTCTCAGATGTCGGCGGGGAGGAATCTCTCGGTCCCAGCCAGGCTCCTCCGTTCCTGTTTATCGCTGCGGCTCCTTGGCGATTATTTGATGATTCGGGACATCTGAGACTGTTTTGTCCACTTGATTTCCTTTCCCCCCCTTGCCCCCCCCGGTCGCCCTGTCGTCTCCCGAGGCCAGCTTGTGGCTGACCTCTTCGAGGGGGGGAGGGAGGGCTTCGGTGCGGGAAGGGTAGACCGGATAGCCTGGTTCTCTGGTACGTGGGCAGCCCTCCCACCCCCTTCCTTGCACCTTACACGCAGGGACCTCGCCATGCCCTAGACGTCTGAGTCAGCTAACAACATTGGTCGTAAGTCGAGAACTAAATGTATCCCGGTCTTGGGTAGTGCCAGCAATGTTCTAATGGTGTTTCTCTCTCTCATCTCTATTCTGTCTGTCTGTCTGTCTATCCATCTATGATTTCTCTGTTATCTATCTATCCATCCATCCATCCATCCATATCTATATCTCTATATCTCTTTCAATTCTATCTCTCTTCTCTCATCTCTCTCATCTCTCTCTCTCTCTCATCTATCTATCTATCTATCTATCTATCTATCTATCTATCTATCTATCTATTTATCATCTATCATCTATCTAGTAAACAGTAACAGAGTTGGAAGGGACCTTGGAGGTCATCTAGTCCAACCCCCTGTGCACATAGGAGACCTGTACTAGGGATTTGAACCGCCGAACTGCCGACCTTTCTGATTGACAAGCTCAGTGTCTTAGCCCTGAGCCACGTAGTCAGGCTTTTTTATCTGTCTGTCTGTCTATCTATCTACCTACCTATCCATCCATCCATCCATCCATCCAATCATCCATCCATCCATCCATCCATCCATCCATCCATCCATCCATCCATCTATCTATCTATCTATCTATCCATCCATCCATCCATCCAATCATCCATCCATCCATCCATCTATCTATCTATCTATCCATCCATCCATCATCTATCTATCTATCTATCTATCTATCTATCTATCCATCCATCCATCCATCCATCCATCCATCCATCCATCATCTATCTATCATCTATCTATCGATCGATCGATCGATTGATCTACCATCTATCTATCTATCATCTATCTATCCATCCATCCATCATCTATCTGTCTGTCTGTCTGTCTGTCTGTCCGTCCGTCCGTCCGTCCGTCCGTCCATCCATCCATCCATCCATCCAGCATTATTGTTATTCAATGAGGATATCTCTGTGACTACCCAAGATTGTGACACAGGTAGCCCTCAACTTAGGACCATTCATTCAGCAATTGTTTGAAGTTAGGTCTTTTTCTAACCTTTGAAGGGCCTTCCTTCAAACAGTCCCTAACCCCATGTCAAAGCTAACCCTCCAATTTATTTAAAATAATAATAATTCCCCCCACCCCTAATTTTGAAATAACACAACTCTATCACACATGAGACTTTTGTTTAAATGCTCTTTAATAACCATCTGATCAAATACATTCAGACCGTAGGCTGGGTCTTTTAAGACTTTGAGCGGGGAAGGGGTTGCTGCCTCCCCTTCCCACCTCTTGTAAATATTTGGACCAAATTAAAAAGAGAGAGAGAGAGAGAGAGAAAGGAACGGACGGCCAGCAGAGAAATCTTTAGAAAGCCTTCGTGACGTGTGGCAACCCTAAACGAAAATCTGGAGAGACAGCAGCTTTTGAAGGGTGAAAAATGAGGCACTAGTGTTATTACAGATAAGGAAGCAAGACACACACACACACTGGAAAAATCCTCTTCGGTTCCTTCCTTCGCCTTTCTCTTTTTCTCACCCTCCCTAAAACAGCCTTATTTAGGAGAAGGAGGAGGAGGAGGAGGAGGAGGAGGAGGAGGAGGAGGAGGAGGAGGAGGAGGAGGAGAAGAAGAAGAAGAAGAAGAAGAAGAAGAAGAAGAAGAAGAAGAAGAAGAAGAAGAAGAAGAAGAAGAAGAAGAAGAAGAAGAAGAAGAAGAAGAAGAATTGAGGAGGAGGAGGAAAAGAAGAAGGAGAAGAATTGAGAAGGAGAAGGAGAAGAAGAAGAAAAGAAGGAGAAAAATTGAGGAGAAGGAGAAGAATTGAGGAGGAGGAGAAGAAGAAGAAGGAGGAGGAGGAGAAGAATTGAGAAGGAGGAGAAGAAGAAGGAGGAGGAGAAGAAGAAGAATTGAGAAGGAGGAGAAGAAGGAGGAGAAGAATTGAGAAGGAGGAGGAGAAGAATTGAGGAGGAGGAGGAGAAGAAGAATTGAGGAGAAGAAGAAGAAGAATTGAGGAGAAGGAGAAGAGGAGGAGGAGGAAAGGAGAAATTGTGCAGAGGGTTTAAAGGGAAAAGGCAACCTGTGATTAAGCAATGTTTCGTGGTTAAGGGAATTCGGCACGCAAAGATACACAAAGCCAGGACTTTGGGGGGGGGTGTTTGTGTATGTTTGCATTTGTGTGTAAGGCTGGAGGGGGGGGGAAACAGCCTTGCACGCACACACTCTGTTCTCGCTCCAGGGAGAAAGTCTGCACGCCGGCTGGATTTCTTAATTTTAAAGTTGCAAGCTTTTGAATTTTCTTCCTGGGAAATGGTTGGAATTGGTTTATAATGCCGAGGGGAGCTTGGAGGTTGGAAGAAATCCTGTGTTTATTTTTTCCTTCCAAGTAGATCACCTCCAGAGATCTAGTCTGTCAAGGTTTGGGGCAGGGGTGAAATCCAGCAGGTTCTGACAGGTTCTGGCGAACCGGTAGCGGAAATTCCTGAGCAGTTCGGAGAACCGGCAAATACCACCTCTGGCTGGCTCCAGGAGTGGGGAGGGAATGGGGATTTTGCAATATCCTTCCCCTTGGAGTGGGGAGGGAATGGGGATTTTGCAGTATCCTTCTCCTGCCACGCCCACTGAGCCACATCCACCAAGCCCACCAAGCCATGCGCACACAACCGGTAGTAAAAAATTTGGATTTCACTACTGGTTTGAGGCATGTGGCTTCTTGAAAAACCCGGAGGGAACGGGCAAATGAAGAGGTACAAAACCCCCTTTTCTCTCTTTAATAGAGGAAAAAGCTTGTTTTATCGCGCCTTTTTTGCCACTTCTGCAGGAAAGGACTAAAGAATTTGTCACTTGTAAAGTTGGACGGGTAGAAACTTGCCTGCGTGCAGAAGGATCTTATCTCTCGGCAGGTCAACAGGTTAATTCTCTTCCTTCTAAAGGAAAGTACATTTATCAAGAAGTTTAACCACCGCAGATCCAAAAAGTGGTTTCAAAACCTCAGACGCTCCTTCAGAAATTATTCCTATCAAGGTGGAACGTGCTCCAGAGGATTTCAGACTACAACACCCATCGCTCTCCAGCCAGCCTCTTCCCCTCCCTGCCGGGATTCAAGATCCCTTAAGGTTTTGGGGAGTACGGATTGAGGAGGATGGGATCTGTAGTCCAATCGGAGGAGCTCAGGAGCGGGTCGAGATTGTCCTCGACCCATCTTGGAATTTGCAGGAGAACTTCTCCATTCCTGGAAAGAAAAAAAAGGACCAAGGAGACATTTTTCTTCCCCACCCCCTCGGCTCCCCATGTTTAAGGGCGAAAAAATTCCTTGAAAAAAAGAAAAGGATAAAAACATCTCATCTCACGAAAGCCAGATTTACTTTGCCAGAGGAGGTTTTAAGGAAGCCGTGCGCATTGTCCTTGAAATTTCCTCCATGGGGCCTCTGTCCACGAAAACAGGATGAAGCCACTTCCTCCCCAGCGGTCTTTGGAGATGAAAAGGGAGGCAGAGCGGCGGGAAGGGGAGGGGAGGGGCTCATCTACACAGATCTGAGTCTTGGGGGAGGGGGTGGTGGTGGAGGGGATGAAGCTCCTCGGAGGAGGGGGTTTACTTGAGGACATCTAGATGAGTGCAGACTTGCTTGAAGACATCATCTACCGTGCCTTCTGCGTTGACCTGAAGGTGGGGGAGAAAGCCACAGAGCTCAGGAGGAGAATCCTGAAGTTGCCGTCTTCTGAGACGACATCCAAGCGTCGCTGTCCACCCTCCCTCCGTGGAGGCCTTCTTGAAGAAATCCTAGCCAGGTTGAATGTTGGTCCACCAGCTTAGGAGGCTTTCAAAGAGAGAATGGGAGGACCACCAGAAGACCCATCTGATCTAATCTGGAGGAGCCTATCTTCACCCTTGACCATCTTGGTGCCCAGGTTCATCCAGCTGCCTAAGCCATCAGGTGGATTCCAAGGGGAAGCCAAGCTTGATGCCTTCAAACCATGCTTTGGGCTTTGCTGTTGAGCACACTCAACGCTTCTTCATTCCATGAAAACAATCTCATGGTTTAGGATGATAGGTAAAGGCCAAAACACCTCATCTAAGTCTAAAGGTTAGACCCCCCCCCCCCCCAATTCTGTTTCGCAGAGGAGGATCCATCTTCAAATCTTGGTCCTAACACAAGGTCAACCCTTCAAATCTTGGGAATTGCTTCCTCCCCACCCAAGTTCCATTTCCCTTCTGCTTCTCTCCAAAATCCTCCCAATGTTGGCGTGGACCTCTTCCCTCCACTAGCAGCCAATTAGTCAGCGCCTTGCTATGCTGAGCAGGATAAGACCTGGAGGGAAGCCCCTGAGAATAATGAATGATTCTGGCCCATCCTCATAACTCAAGAGAATGGGGGGGGGGTCCTTTCGTTGCCTGCGATAGCTGGAGTATTTTTAAGAAATGAGGAAGGAAGGAATGAGAGGGGAGGGAAGGAAGGAAGCAAGAAAGAGAGTTGAGAGGGAAGGGAATGAAGACGGAAGGAAAGAGGGAGGGGAGGGAAGGAAGGAAGGAAGCAAGAAAGGGAGGTGAGGGAAGGAAGGGAATGAGGAAGGAAGGAAGGAAAGAGGGAGGGGAGGGAAGGAAGGAAGGAAGCAAGAAAGGGAGGTGAGGGAAGGAAGGGAATGAGGAAGGAAGGAAGGAAAGAGGGAGGGGAGGGAAGGAAGGAAGAAAGAAAGGGAGGGAATGGATTGAGGAAGGAAGGAAGGAAAGAGGGAGGGGAGGGAACAAAGAAAGGGAGGGGAGAAGGATGGGAATGAGGAAGGGAGGAAGGAAAGGGAGGGGAGGGAAGGAAGGAAGGAAGCAAGAAAGGGAGGGGGGAGGGAAGGGAATGAGGGAGGAAGGAAGGAAAGAGGGAGGGGAGGGAAGGAAGGAAGAAAGAAAGGGAGGGAATGGATTGAGGAAGGAAGGAAGGAAAGAGGGAGGGGAGGGAACAAAGAAAGGGAGGGGAGAAGGATGGGAATGAGGAAGGGAGGAAGGAAAGGGAGGGGAGGGAAGGAAGGAAGGAAGCAAGAAAGGGAGATGAGGGAGGGAAGGGAATGAGGGAGGAAGGAAGGAAAGGGAGGGAAGGAAGGAAGAAAGGGAGAGAAGGGAATGAGGAAGGAAGGAAAGAGGGTGGGGAGGGAGGAAAGTGGGAGAGGGGAAGGAAGGGAGGGAAGGAAGCAAGAAAGGGAGGTGAGGGAGGGAAGGGAATGAGGGAGGAAGGAAGGAAAGAGGGAAGGAAGGAAGAAAGGGAGAGAAGGGAATGAGGAAGGAAGGAAAGAGGGTGGGGAGGGAAGAAAGAAAGGGAGGGAGGGAGGGAAGGGATTGAAGGAAGGAAGGAAAGGGAGGAAAGGAAGGAAGGAAAGGGAGGGAAGGAAGGGAGGGAAGGGAAGGGAATGAGGAAGGAAGGAAAGAGGGAGGTGAGGGAAGAAAGAAAGGGAGGTGTGGGAGGGAGGGAAGGGAGGGAGGGAATAAGGAAGGAAGGAAGGAAGGGGCAAATGGCTCAGCCAATAATTTTTATGTGACTGAAATGACTCCCTCTGGAGTCCCAACCTCATCTCCTGGACACAACATTTCCAATTTCAGACAAAAGGTAAATTCGTGTGAGAGATTTCCAAACCATCCACCTGACTCACCTTGCGGACAATTCCCTTCTTCTCGTAATAGGCGATGACGGGCTCGGTGGCCTTGTAATAGGTATCCAAACGCTTCTTGATAGTCTCTTCGTTGTCGTCCACGCGCCCGCTGGTCTCTCCTCGTTTCAGCAGCCGTTTCACCATGGTGTCCTTCCCAGCGTCCACGTAGAGCAGCAGGGTGGGGGCAGTGATCTGCTCGGGAACGTTCAAAGAGAAGTCAAGGTGAGATGAAGAGGAAGCGGAAGAGGAAGGAGAGGAGAAGAAGAAAAAGGAGGAGGAAAAGGTTAAGGAAAAGATACGTGAAAAGATAGAACCAGGAGGAGGAGGAGGAAGAGGAGAAAAAGAAATGAAAAGTAGATAGATCAAAGGGGGGGAAGAGGAGATAGACGAAGGAGAAAGAGGAGAAGGAGAAGAAGATAGAAGAAGATAGAGGAGGAAGAGGAGGATGAGAAAAGAGAAGGGGGAGGAGGAGGATAAGGTTAAGGAGAAGATAGACGAAAAGATAGATGAGAAGGAGGAGGAAGAGAAGAGATAAAAAGATAAAAAGGGAGGAAGAGAAGATAGGTGAAAAGAAGAAGAAAAGGGGAGGAAGAGGAGGATGAGAAAAAAGGAGGAGGAGGATAAGGTTAAAGAGAAGATAGACGAAAAGATAGATGAGAAGGAGGAGGAAGAGATAAAAAGTAGATAAAAAGGGAGGAAGAGAAGATAGATCAAGAAGGAGGAAGAGAAGATAGGTGAAGATAGAAGAGAACAGGGAAGAAGAAAAAGAGGGAAGAAGAAGAAAAGGGGAGGAAGAGGAGGATGAGAAAAGAGAAGGGGAGGAGGAGAATAAGGTTCAGGAGAAGATAGATGAAAAGATAGATGAGAAGGAGGAAGAGAAGAGATAAAAAGGGAGGAAGAGAAGATAGAGAAGGAGAAAGGAGAAGATAGATGAAAAGAGATGAGAAGGAGGAGGAAGAGGAGATAAAAAGTAGATAAAAAGGGAGGAAGAGAAGATAGAGGAGGAGGATAAGGTTAAGGAGAAGATAGATGAAAAGATAGATGAGAAGGAGGAGGAAGAGAAGAGATAAAAAGTAGATAAAAAGGGAGGAAGAGAAGATAGAGGAGGAGGATAAGGTTAAGGAGAAGATAGATGAAAAGATAGATGAGGAGAAGGAGGAGGAAGAGAAGAGATAAAAAGTAGATAAAAAGGGAGGAAGAGAAGATAGAGAAGAAGAGAGGAGGAGAAGATAGATGAAAAGATAGATGAGGAGAAGGAGGAGGAAGAGAAGAGATAAAAAGTAGATAAAAAGGGAGGAAGAGAAGATAGAGAAGAAGAGAGGAGGAGAAAATAGATGAAAAGATAGATGAGGAGAAGGAGGAGGAAGAGAAGAGAAAAAGTAGATAAAAAGGGAGGAAGAGAAGGAGAAAGGAGAAGATAGGTGAAAAGAAGATAGAAGAGAAGAGGGAAGAAGAAGAAGAAGTAAAGGGAAGGAAGAGGAGAAGACGAAAAGGAGAAGGAGAAAGAGGAGGGAAAGTAAATAGATGAAAAGAAGATTGAGGAGGAGGAGGAGAAACAGAAGGAGAAAGAAGGAAAAGAAAGAGAAGACCAAGTTTGCAATTATTTGGTCGTCCACACAAGTCCTCTAACCCCTCCTTCACGTGTTGCAAATTTCACCTGGCCCTTTTCTGTTAACGGATCAATAACGGCGGGATGACAAAATCAAAGCATCTTGCAAGCCATCAAACAAAACAAGATTTAGCCAAACAACAGCCCACCCTAATTAGTTGCTAAGATCCGAATCCATATTTTTTGGCCAAGCAGAAGACTGCGAGAAGAGATTGCACTGCCCTCTTGTGGCTTGATCCCGCTCTTACCGAAGACAGCCCTCCAATCATATTAATAATAATTCGATAATAACAACACCCGTCATGCCCAAAAATCAAAAGCTCCCTGGGGGAAAAAAAAAATGAGGGAGAAACATTCCCAAGCTTTGAAATCTTTTCCTCTGGAGTCCCAAAGGTGCTTTTTAAAGAGGCAACTGGACTTTCTTGTTTTTTCGTTGAAGACGTTTCGCTTCTCATCCAAGAAGCTTCTTCAGCTCTGACTGGATGGTGGTGGGGAATGGAAGGGCTTATATTCCTTCCTATTTAGAATATAAATATATATTTATATTAATAGGGACCCGGTGGCTCAGTGGCTAAGACGTTGAGCTTCTCGATCGAAAGATCGGCGGTTTGGGGGTTCGAATCCCTAGCGCCGCATAACGGGGTGAGCTCCCGTGACTTGTCCCAGCTTCTGCCAACCTAGCAGTTCGAAAGCACGTAAAAAATGCAAGGGTTGTCTCAAAATAGTAAAGGTAAAAGAGTTCCCCTCGCACATATGTGCTACTCGTTCCCGACTCTAGGGGGTAATGCTCATCTCTGTTTCAAAGCCGAAGAGCCAGCGCTGTCCAAAGACATCTCCGTGGTCACGTGGCCGGCGTGACTCAACGCCAAAGGCGCACAGAACGCTGTTCCCTTCCCACCAAAGGTGGTCCCTGTTTTTCTACTTGCATTTTTTTACATGCTTTCGAACTGCTAGGTTGGCAGAAGCTGGGACAAGTCACGGGAGCTCACCCCGTTATGCGGCACTAAGGATTCGAACCGCTGAAGTGCTGACCTTTCTATCGACAAGCTCAGCATCTTAGCCACTGAGCCACCGTGTCCCAAAATAGTAGTCACGCTGTAAACACTCTGACAGAGACCTGAGATTCACCACCACGTTCTTACCTTCTTCTCAAATTCCACGCCTTGGTTCACCTCCCGGGGATAACCGTCAATCAAATAGCCCTTGGACTCGTTTGCTTTGGCCAACATGGCGTCTCTCAGCATGTCCAGAACAGTGTCCTACGGACGAAGAGTTTGGAGTAAGGAGCAATTTTGCAAAGTTTGGGGGGAAATTTCAGAGCTCTGGATTCAAAGAACCGGGAAAGGAGTTTGGATTTCGTTGAGTTCCCCACTGATGGGATATTTCTAACCCAAGACCATCCTGCATCTCGTCCGGTATTTATTTATATTCCACCTTTCCTCACTCTTGACGTGGCTTCCTTGATTTTCTTTACACAACAGCCAGCGTAGGTAGTCCTCGACCACAAGGGCAGCCCCATATTTTCTGTGGTTAAGCGAGACGTTGGTTAAGTGAATTTTGCCTCGTTTTATGACCATGCGCCGTGAAGGGAACCGCCGCCGCTGATGAGTTAGTAATCTGGGTTTTTTTGTTTTGTTTTTTTAATTTGATTTATATGCCGCCCTTCTCCGGAGACTCAGGGCGGCTTACAATGCGTTAAGCAATAGCCTTCATCCTTTTGTATATTTATACAAAGTCAGCTTTTCTTTCTTTCTTTCTTTCTTTCTTTCTTTCTTTCTTTCTTTCTTTCTTTCTTTCTTTCTTCCTTCCTTCCTTCCTTCCTTCCTTCCTTCCTTCCTTCCTTCCTTCTCTTTCTTTTCTTTTTTTTAAAAAATTTGATTTATATGCCGCCCTTCTCCGGAGACTCAGGGCGGCTTACAGTGCGCTAAGCAATAGCCTTCATCCTTTTGTATATTTATACAAAGTCAGCTTATTGCCCACACAATCAGGGTCCTCAATTTACCTACCTTAGAAAGGATGGAAGGCTGAGTCAACCTTGAGCCTGGTAAGATTCGAACTTACAGTAATTGCAGACAGCTGTTGTTAATCACAATGCTATTAGTCTGCTGAGCCACCAGCCCCTTTGCTGTGGGTTGTGAAGTGAATTTGGCTTTCCCTTCGACTTTGTTTGTCGCAAAAAGGGATTGCCTGATCTCGGACACACTGCGACGGTGATAAATATGAGTCAGTTGTATTGAGAAATGATGATAAATTATGAAGAATGAGGGCACAAAAATGTTATGCCCAGCTGACACGTGGATTGATTAATAATGTACAGGAATGTAAGAAGAGATATAATTATAAAGTAAAAAAAGAACCTTGGTAGTACAGTGGTTTAAAGCACCCTGTTATTAAGACCAGCTGCCTGCAATTATTGCAGGTTCGAATCTCGCCAGGCTCAAGGTTGACTCAGCCTTCCATCCTTTCTAAGGTAGGTAAATTGAGGACCCAGTTTGTGGGGGCAATAAGCTGGCTTTGTATAAATATACAAAAGGATGAAGGCTATTGCTTAGCGCATTGTAAGCCGCCCTGAGTCTCCGGAGAAGGGCGGCATATAAATCAAATTTTTTAAAAAAAGGAATTTGAAATGAAGGTGTATGTGAATAGAAATCAGGGCTGCTCGGATACTATCTCAGATTTAATTGAAAAAGGGAGTTGAAAAGGGGGAGGGAGGAGAGTTGGGAGGTGAGAAGAGAAGAAAAGAAGAATGGGAAAAGGAGGGGAAGAAAGAAGGGGGAAAGAGGAGGGGAGACGGTAAGAAAGGGAGGAAGAAGAGAAGATAGGAGAAAGAGGAGAGGAAGTAGAAAAGGGAAGGAGAGGAGGAATGAGGAAAGTAGAAAGAAACAGAAGAGGAGAGAGAAGGGAAGAAAAGAAAAGGAAAGGTTGTATTAAAATAAAGGAAGGAGATAGTAGAAGAGCAGACCCAAACAACTAATTAGCAAATGGAAGTTAAAGAACAAGATGAATGAATCATGATTAATGATGGACAAAAGAATATGTTGATAAAAAATAAAAATAAAAAAACTTTAAAAATAAATAAATAAACACTAGTCAGTTGTCAAGCCTCTGAGCTTAGTGGTTTTCTTGCAAACATTTCCTGACCCAACTAGTGAACATCATCAGTCCTAGAAGGGAGGAGGAGGAATGTGGGACATGCTGCAACGGTGGTTGTTAAAAACAATCGTAAGTCATTTTTTTTCCCCAGTGCCGTTCGTTGTAACTTTGAATGGTCGCTAAGCAAACCCTGAAGACTTATTTATTCCAACAAGCCGGCCTAGCTTAAATGGTTTTAATGGGGGATTTTTAATCTTTTAATTTTATTGGTTCTTGGGTTTTAAATTGGGACCTTTTTTGATTTTGTAGATTTGGGATTTTAAATTGGTAATGCCGCTGATTTAATTTATTTTAGTTTTTTCTTAACTTTTGTACTATATGTGTTTTAATTTCTGGCTGTCCACCGTCCTGAGTCCCCCTGGGGAGAAGGGCGGTATATAAGTTTAATTAATTAAATAAATAAATAAACCGTTCTAGGTCAAGGACTGCCTGTAATGTAGATCAGACGGAAGAGGAAAACATCACGAGAACATTTCCAGAGACTGGGAATTTGGGTCGCGATTGAGGTGCGATGTGGTGGATGTCTATTCACTTGAGTGTTTGGCTTCGAATTATGGACAGCCTGCACCTTGGAGTCAAATCGGGTTGGGATTGAAGAGCAGGAGATGAAGGAAGCCAACAGCATGGAAGATCTCCAAGGCTGAGGAACATCAGAAGCAGACGTGGGTTGCTCCCGGTTCTTGCGAACCGGTAGTAAAAACGGGAGGCTCCGTCTACCCACCCGGACATCATAATGGACGATCTGCACTCCGGTTGCGAACCAGTAGTAAAGGTAAGTAGAACCCACCTCTGATCAGAAGGTCTTCTAACTCACCAGAGGGACCAACTCTCCTTTCTCCATGATGGCCGAAAGCTTCTTCCCCCTATCCGAGCCGGAGCTGACTTCCGCTCGTAGCAGGTCACCGGTGGACAAGTGAGTGTAGCCATATTTTTGGACGATCCTCTCGCACTGCGTTCCTTTCCCAGAACCTGGTCCTCCTGTGGAAGACACGGGGCAATCAGGCACGGAATCAGGGATTAAAAATAATCAATAAAGGGGAATATTTGTAGCTCGGGATTGAAAGGAGGGGGTCCTTGGTGCTCTCTGAGCTTGGTGGTTTTCTTGCAGACGTTTCATGACCCAATTAGGGAACATCATCAGTGCTACTGGTAGTACTGCAGTAGACTAGCACTGAACACCAAGGACCCACAGTCCTCCTTCACTTCCTCTTCCTCTTCCTCCTCCTCCCAAATCCCATCCCCTTCTAGCACTGATGATGTTACCTCCTGGGAATTTTGAAAACTGAATATGCAAAAAAGAAAAAGTATTTAATTATACATATTCTGACAGCCGCTAGAATTTCCTTTGCCCAGTATTGGAAAGAAAAACAAATACCACCTCAAGAACATGTTATTGGAAAAATATTGGAGTGCGCCGAAATGGACAAACTGACTTCAGAAATTAATGACAGAGAAGATTCGGAATTTTATAGCGTGTGGGACATGTGGTACGAATGGATGGGGAAAAGAAATAAAGAAGGAAATAGAGATTAAATATTAATTAATTAACAAAATCCATATGAATAGTATTACATTTAGTCTTAGAGATTTGAGCACTATTATCTTTAAGTGTTTTGAAATTAAATCTAGCTTTAAGAAACAATATCAAATAATAGACAAGTAATAATGCATGTAGATGTATATATGTATATAATTGCACAATTGAACCGAAAATGTACTGAATGTATCACTATATGTTATAATAAAAATCAAATTAAAAAAAAAAAAGAAACGTCTGCAAGAAAACAAGGAAGCTCAGAGAACACCAAGGACCCCACATTTCTCCTTCACTTCATCCTCCCCCCTCCTCCTCCTCCTCCTCTTCCTCCTCCTCCCAAACCCCGTCCCCTTCTAGCACTGATGATATTACCTAGTTGGGTCATGAAACGTCTGCATGAAAATAAGCAAGTTCGGAGAGCACCAAGGGCCCCCCATTGAAAATAATATTGCTTGCACGCTAGTTTTCTTCAACCAACAGCAACTTTAGTTTAGATCCACCTTTACTGCAGCAGCATTCAATTTTGGGGAGACCACTCCCCACAACCCACCGTGGATGGTGTCAAGAGATGGACATTGTCCCTACTGCCTTTGGCCACAACTGGAGGGCAGTTGAGACATTTTGAAAACATAATCCTCTAAATGCAAGGGACGTATAAACTGAAAGGAGGTTAATTGCTGGGAAATTATTTCTTTCTGACGTGAAAAATTATTTTTCTGACATGAAAAAGTAAAGCAACAAATTTTTAAAAGACCCCCTGCATGGAAATCTGGAGGGTTCTTTCTTTGGCTCTGCAGCAAAAATATATTTTATTCTGGGTTGAGTTGGGGAATTGTTGAGTTGGGCTCTAACCCAAACTTGTCAAGAGGAATCCACTCCCACTTTAGTTAGAACCCTGATGAAAAGTCCTTAAAAGTATTTTTTTTTTCTTGTGGAGCCAAAAGAAATACTACTTTGCGATGGCTTAAGACTTACCCACCACGAAGATGATTTTGTGGTTTTTCAATTTTTCTGCCAGGAAAAAAAGGGGAGAAAAACCTGTTAGGATCTGGCGGAGAAGTCAGTTCTTGGTTGCTCGCACAAGATACCCATCTGGGTTTGTGAACTTGTTTTTAAAAAGGATTCCCCCCTCATCCATCCCACCATCTCTCTTTATCTCTCTCTTTATCTCTACCCCTCTCCCTCTCCATCCGTCCATCCATATCTATCTATCTATCTATCTATCTATCTATCTATCTATCTATCTATCTAATTATATATCTATATTCTATTATCTACATCTATATAATCAATCATCTATATCATATATCATCTGTCTTCTATCTTCTAACATCTCTGTCTATATCTGTCTCTGTTCTCTATTACCTATTCTATATATATATATCTAATCTAATCAATCATCTATATCATGTATCTATCATCTATCTTCTAACATATCTATCTATCTATCTATCTATCATTTATCTATTTACATCCATCATCCATCTATCATCCACCCACCCACCCATTCATCCATCCATCCATCCATCTATTATCTATCAATCATCTATCTATTTACATCAGTCATCCATCTATCATCTATCTATCTATCTATCTATCTATCTATCTATCTATCATCTATGTTTCTATGTATCTATTATCTATCAATCATCTATCTATTTACATCCATCTATCATCCATCTATCATCTACCTACCTATCTCTCTCTCTCTCTCTCTCTATCTATCTATCTATCATCTATGTTTCTATGTATCTATTATCTATCAATCATCTATCTATTTACATCCATCTATCATCTACCTACCTACTTACCTATCTATCTATCTATCTATCTATCTATTTATTATCTATGTTTCTAGGTATCTATTATTTATCAATCATCTATCTATTTACATCAATCTATCATCCATCTATCATCTATCGATCTATCTATCATCTATGTTTCTATGTATCTATTATCTATCAATCATCTATTTACATCCATCTATCATCCATCTATCATCTATCGACCTATCTATCTATCTATTTATCATCTATGTTTCTATGTATCTATTATCTATCAATCATCTATCTATTTACATCAATCTATCATCCATCTATCATCTACCTACCTATCTCTCTCTCTCTCTCTCTCTCTATCATCTATGTTTCTATGTATCTATTATCTATCAATCATCTATCTATTTACATCCATCTATCATCCACCTATCTATCTATCTATCTATCTATCTATCTATCTATCTATTTATTATCTATGTTTCTATGTATCTATTATCTATCAATCATCTATCTATTTACATCAATCTATCATCCATCTATCATCTATCGATCTATCTATCATCTATGTTTCTATGTATCTATTATCTATCAATCATCTATTTACATCCATCTATCATCCATCTATCATCTATCTACCTATCTATCTATCTATCGATCTATCGATCTATCTATCGATCTATTTATCATCTATGTTTCTATGTATCTATTATCTATCAATCATCTATCTATTTACATCAATCTATCATCCATCTATCATCTATCGATCTATCTATCTATCATCCATGTTTCTATGTATCTATTATCAATCATCTATTTACATCCATCTATCATCCATCTATCTATCTATCTCTATCTATCTATCTATCTATCTATCTATCTATCTATCTATCTATCTCTGCAAAACATTTGAACCCTTTATAAATGGATATAAGACTCTCCATTACAAAGTTATTTCACAATTAATATCATCTCAGGTGCTGCAGCAATCAGCAAGTTTTATTTCCCCGATTTCTGAGGGCTGCAAATATGGGAGCCCAAAATTAGAGGGCCTTCATTCATTTTGCTACAGTTTCTTTGAATGATGCTTCTCAGGAGCCCAGAAACTTTTTCCAGACCTGGTTGAAAATGTAAAGACTGCCAAGCGGGAGAGCTAAAAATAAAAACAGTTTCAGGTTTCACAGACAACCTGTAATGAGAATTCTCCTTTGATTACAGGTTTCTAGAATTATATCCTCGAAGAGCTGAGGAAATGAGCCGTAAGGAAATTATGAAGTCTCCGGAGTCTAGTCAGAATGTCTGGATTGAGAGTTTTTGTATATTTTTTTCCCCCCTTGCTTTTAACACCCAATTCCAGAGGAAACGCAGCCTATAGAAGCCATAACTCAACTAGAATTGTATTTGCGCAACAATGGAAAAATGATGAGATTCCGTCTGAGGTGAATGTAATTAAGAAAATATTAGAATGCGCAGAAATGGATAGATTAACACTTGCTATTAAGGATAAAGAAGAAACTGGATATTTTTTGAAATGGGGTGTATTTTATCAATGGCTAGGCAACAGAAACAGGAGTTAGAAAGGAGGAGATGTAAAAAGAGGAAATGCTAAAGTGGAAAATTGTTAAAAGAAGATGATGTTAACTATTATTATTATATTATTATATCATCGATTCTGTGGTGATGAATACCACAACAAATATGTGTATTATGATTGTTTTAAAAATAACTCTACCCAGATCACACACTGTTCGATGAAAATTGAATGTTATATAAATAAAACAAATAAAAAACCAAAAAAGAGAGAGAAGAAGCTGTAACTCAACTGTAGAGTCTATCTTTTAACGCCAACGTATCAGCTCCAGTTACATCTTGGGTACTAAGTGATGGAGAAATGCCCCCATCCAGCCCAAACTGAGTCCTGCTAACGAACGGTTATCTGGCATTGTTGCAAACCTCTCAAGCCAGCTTCATAAATTGACTTCAGAAGTTCTATCACAGGCTAAAAACTCACCCACTAATGCGCTGGATTGACGCGAATGCCAAAGAAATGTACTTGTGATGTTTGGTGTCTGTGAAGATTCTCAGTCATCCAGGTCATGGGTGTCCCAAAGGTGCTTTTTTATTATTATTATTATTATTTATTTTTTCAAGAGGCCACTGGGCTTTGCTTTTTTCCTTGAAGACATTTCACTTCTCACCCAAGAAGCTTCTTCAGTTCTGAGTGAACTTCTGACTGCATCTGAATAATTCAGGTCAGAACTGAAGAAGCTCCTTGGGATGGGAAGCGAAATATCTTTGAGGAAAAAAAGTCCAGTCGCTTCTTGAGAAAGCATCTTTGGGACATGCTTGTACTTGTTGGATCGAAGGGTGTTTCCACTTGCAAATTTCAGACCACAGTATAAGGCTGTTAACTTAAAAACTGTCCAAGCAATGATAGCCAACAGGCCTTAGAGCAGAGGTGACAAACTCAATTTCATTGAGGGCCGCATCGGGGCTGTGGTTGACCTCGGGGAGCCAGCCAACTATGGCCAACTGGGTGGGCGTGGCCAACTGGGTGGGCGTGGGCATCTTGATGCCACTCCCCAAACTGCTGGCATGTTTCCTCTTCGCATTGGGTAGACTGGTGCCGAAGCTATGCTGGCCTAATCTTTCTTCTTCGCATTTGGTAGACCAGGACAGCCTCGTGGGCCGGATCTGACCACATCACAGGCTGGATCCAGCCCACGGGCCTCGTGTTTGACACCCCTGCCTTAAGGGATCTGGGATCTAGAAAACCTTGACCAGCATTTCCAAATTATTTTTCAGACTGTGGAATCTATTACTGGCACACAAAAAGATCTCCAGAACTTCCTCGTCAAGAGGTGAAGCTCAAGTGCCTTCAGACGTTGTGGGTGCTTCATCACAGGAGGCTTTTAAGAAGAGACTGGGCAGCCACCTGTCTGACATGGTAGAGGATCTCCTGCTTGAGCAGGGGGCTGGACTAGAAGACCTCTAAGGTCCCTTCCAAGCTCTGTTATACGATACGATATTCGGAGAGGGTTTGATGCTATTTTCTTGAAGACTAGATGAGATGATAAACTGAACACTAAATTTTCATTCTTTGGGGGGGAAAATGGGAGCGAAGAATGGAGCATCTTGGGGTGTCCAGAAGTTGGAACATCATAAAGAGGTGTTGGTAGATGAGGATCAACCTAAATTTCTCTGAGGATAACTACTAACGTTGGCTTGATTGATCTGAAAGGTCCACTAAAATTGAGAAAGAAAGAAAATTCACTGACCTGCTACCATTCTGGAGGGTTCTGGGGTGATGACCACCTCCTCTGTCTGAAAGAAACAGAAGAACTGATTAGACTGAAGATCGCAGCTCTTGAAGGGCGTCATCCCAGCGGCTCAGGAAATTCCTTGTTGGCTCCAATCTCCTCTTCCAAAACCAGACAGGATAATAATTCAAGGCTGCCAGCAAAAATAATTAAGCATAAAATAATTATTTCATGCTCCTGGGGAGGAAAGCCATGGCAAAGTTAGACAGCATACTAAAAAGCAGAGACATCACCCTGCCCTCAAAAGTGCATATAGTCAAGGTTATGGTTTTCCCAGCTGCAATATCTGGCTGTGAAAGTTGGACCGTAAGGAAGGCTGAGCGCCAAAGAATGGAGGCCCTTGAACTCTGGTGCTGGAGAAGACTCCTGCGAGTCCCTTGGACTGCAAGGCGATCCAACCGGTCAGTCCTAGAGGAGATCAACCCTGACTGCTCTCTAGAAGGCCAGATCCTGAAGAGGAAACTCAAATACTTTGGCCACCTAATGAGAAGGAAGGACTCCCTGGAGAAGAGCCTAATAATGCTGGGAACGATGGAGGGCAAAAGAAGAAGGGGACGGCAGAGAACGAGGTGGCTGGATGGAGTCCACTGAAGAAGTCGGCGTGAGCTTCAATGGACTCCAGAGGATGGTAGAGGACAGGAAGGCCTGGAGGAACGTGGTCCATGAGGTCGCGATGGGTCAGACACGACTTCACAACTAACAACAACAACAACAACAATAATTATGACTTCTCTCAATTTTGCCGTGTTTTTAAATCCTTCCCATCTCCCTTTTTAAAAAAGATCTCCCCAACTGCCACCTCAAATAAAACCTTCAATCATCCCTACAGATGTTTAGGGGGTAGGGGGGTGGGACACACGTAAAAAAAATAAAGCCAATAAAATAAAACAAAACCGCTTTACCTCAATCTATTCTGGAACACTAAAACCAATCTTGGGTTAGACACGGCAACTGATTTTTTTTTTCCCCCTTCCTTTTTTTCCAAGCTGGCAGATCCTGAGAAGGTTCGACCATGAATGCAGAGGAGATCTTACCGAGTCCAACCCTCCCAGGTAGAATCACCCCGGCAACTATCCAACGGAGGAAACAAGAGTCCAAGGATCGCTGTCAATGTGACAGCCGGGAGGCAGCCTCTGACTCAGAGCTACGTGAATGGAGGGAGGAAAAAAATGCATGCATCACCTGGGAAGAGGTTTCCATGGCAACTGCTTCCTGCCTCGGATGTACCGGCAAGCCTTAGGAAGAAAACCTCAACGCCATAGGGCAGAGGCAAGAAGGACCACTGTGGGGGGAAGCTGAAGCAATGAAATTCCCCAGGAGGTATCTCTAAGTACCTGTTTGGGTCTCAGACAGGGAGGTTTTGGGTGGTAGAGATGAGAAAGCTCCGGTTCTCCAGATCTCCATAAAAATATTGTTGGATTTCCTATCTAGGTTCAAGCAGTCAGCTGCTACTTCAGCCTGGCGTCTAACTCAGCCTGGAGAGGGTGGATTAAAATGCCCATCATCCCCTGGCAGTGTGGCGAGTGGACCACCCAGCTGGTAAGCATCTAAGGAAGGTTGAACCATTCCTTGCATTTTTCCCCCTTTCTCTCTGGAAAAAAAAAAATGACTCAAAAGGAAAAGCATAACCTGTGCCTTCTTTTGAACTATTTCACTAGGGGATCTTACTCATTTTATTTTTCTGCTTTTGGGAAGTTATAAGTGCGAAGATGACCATTGCAAAGTGTACAGATAGACCCCTGGAACTGCTGAAGGACCAATGCTGAAGGACATCGCTAAAAAAGCGTTAAGAGTTGTTAACCTAATCTCGCGTAGCTTCTTCTCCAGTGATAACATTGTACTGCAAACTAGGGCATACAAAACCTTTGCTAGACCAATTCTCGAATACAGCTCGTCTGCCTGGAACCCGCACTGCATATTGGACATTAATACAATTGAGCGAGTCCAGAGATATTTCACAAGAAGAGTCCTCCACTCTTCTGCTCACAACTGAATATCTTATGCCACCAGGCTTGAAATTTTGGGCTTAGACAACTTTGAACTACGTCGCTTTCGGTCTGATCTAAACGTAGTGCACAAAATTATCTGTACATCGTCCTACCTGTCAATGACTACTTCAGCTTCAACCGCAACAATACACAAGCACACAATAGATACAAACTTAAAGTGAACCGCTCCAAACTCGATTGCAGAAAATACGACTTCAGCAACAGAGTGGTCAGTGCCTGGAATGCACTACCTGACTCTGTGGTCTCATCCCCAAACCCCAAAAACTTTAACCTTAGATTGTCTACTGTTGACCTCACCCCATTCCTCAGAGGTCTGTAAGGGGCGTGCATAAGGGCACCAGCGTGCCTTCCGTCCCTGTCCTAATGTTCCCTTTTATTCATATCCATTTCATGTATTCATAATCATGTTTATACTTATATCTGTTATCTAATATACGCTTGACAAATAAATAAAAATAAATAAAGCTTGGAAGAATCGATGTGGACTCCACAGCGTATCAATCCATCAGTCCAGATTGAAGGCTCATTTCAAGACAAAAAAAGGCTTGAATGAAATTGAATTGAAATGAGCCTTCAATCTGGATTGATGGATCGATACTTTTCCCAAACCTGTTAGTTTTACAACTTTTCGGGTGATTTCATTTCCATTCTGTGAAAAAGGAGCCTGACTTTTGCAGGAAAGGGGGAAAAAAAAAACCTCGCCAGCAAATGGATATCTTATTCCATTTGTTCTCCAACTCTTAAAAATGAAGAATCGGTTGCGCTGCTGCCTTTCCTTGATTCAAACCACATCTTTGCTCCCGTCCGAGCCCTCGATTAAAATCCTGCTTGTATCGCGGCTTGCAATCCTGGCTTGCTACCTGATCCTTCAAGGCCTCAGTTTCCCCACTTGCAAAAGGTCAGCTGCTGAAACCCACCTCGTGGGCTTCTCCGATTCCCGTGAATCGAATCGCGGTTAGATTTCGGAAAGCATTTTTTTTTTTTGGGGTGGCGTTGAATTTCATGGTTGAACAGCAGCTCGTCTTTACATTGGGTTATTCCACCACCTCCCAAAAAAAAATCTACTAATGTAATTTCAGGAAGACTCCGAGAGACAGGAGGGAGTCCGAGAATAGATGCTGGCACGGTTTAAGGGGAGAAGCAAACAGGTCTGGTTACATCTCTCTCTCTCTCTCTTTTTTTTTTTTACACCTAATAAGGTGTTTTGCAAAGTGCAACTCAGCCGCCGTAAATCTTTGCTGGAGAAAGTGAGTTGGGGGGAGGCTAGAGCCAAGTTTTAAATTTCTTCCTGAAGTTTTAAAGTGGATTTTGTGGGTGGGTGGGTGAATTTATTTACTATTTATTTTATTTTGCCGCATTTCTATTCCCAAGGGAATTGAAGCATGTCAGGAGTTTAAATTTCCCGTTCCTGCAAAAACACCGCATCAAAAGGCACACACTCTTGAAAACCTGTGTAAAATTGCTGTCTACCTCCCAGGTTTAAATCGGCGTGGCTGTCCTGAGATGCTAGCTTTCTGCAAGCAAGGAATTGGCCGGGTAAAGAAGCAGCCAACTCAATTTCTTCCTTCTTCCCTTACCTTTTCACTGGGCCACCCTCCACCCTCTCCACCCCAAGGATGGTTCAAAGGGCTCTCTAAACACCCCCAAGAAAGGAGTAGAAAAAAAACAACAGGTACCTTCCAGTCAGTTGAAAACTATGCTAGACATCCTTCCACCAGCAGATGTCAGGAAACACGAGTGAAGGAAGATGGTTAATGATGAATCTGCTCCTGGAATGACACCTTCCTTCCTAACATCCAAGCGATGTGATCATCATGATGAGGTAACCCCATCATCACAATGAGGTGATGCAGAGTTTAATGACAGGTGTGTGGGCTGTTTCAAAACAACACAAAATCCCAGAACTTCCTCCCTTGGAGAAATCTAGAACCTCCCTGTTGGTTTTCTAAGGACAAGGGGTATATATATGTGTGTGTTTCTGTGTTGTGATGTCTCTCCAGGTGGTGCAGTTAAAATCCCCAGGGTAACCAATGTGGATACTCCGAATTTAAGCATCCTTTCCATCCTCGGATGCATCCCAGGTTCAAATTTAGCCACAAATGCTTCCTAGATGGCTATTTATTCTCTGTCATCCCAGCCTACCTTGTAGGGGGGTTGTGGAGTGTGGGGGGGAAGGGGGACTGCCATGCACATGTTAAAATTGCTGTTTAGATCCTTTGGGGAAGGCCGGGTTAAATCAGCGTACGGGGAGGCTGTCCTGAGATGCTAGCTTTCTACAGGCGAGGAACTGGCTGGATAAGGAAGCTGCTAATCAAATTTTCTTTCCCCCTTCCCTTGCCTTTTAAACGGGGCAGCCCACCAGGACGGTTCAAAGGTCCTTGGATGCTGGAAAAGGGAGAAAACATTTGCAAGAAAGAACGAAAAGACGGTGAAAAGGAGAACAAAACTGGAACTTCTCCATTTTGCTTAAGCCAGTATCTGGATTTCCTCCAGATCCTATAGTTCGCTACCCTTTGCACACCAGCGATCCCTTTTTGATGACCTCCAAATCTGGCTGGGGGATTTTTGTTTCAATTTACACCCACCCACCCACCCAAAGTGGCTTATTTAGGATATTGGCACGGTTTTAAAATCGGGGGGCCGGAAGTTATCAGCCTCTCTCTTGATTCCCAGCAAAAAATAAATAAAACTCGTGCAAAATTCCAGCTGTTTAACCAGGGCAAGGTTGCATGTTGGGGTGGGGGCAAAAGGAAGACAGAGACCCCCCTCCTTGAAAAAAAAATGATTCTAAAGCCCCCCCCCTCCCTCCTCTCCAGCAGCTTTGGATCAACAGACGCAAAGCTAAGAGGTCAGTCAAGGTTATTGCAACCGGACACTTTCCCAAAGTTGGTGCAGAGATGCACATACAACACAATCATTTATGGATCAAAGCATAACATGTCGAATTACCCACAAACTTTGGCCCTGGGTCTATTTGGCTGCAGATCCCCCTTTTTTTTAAAAAAAAAAATTAAATTAAATTAAAAGCACTGTTGCAAATCCCTGCTCAGAGCTGCTTCCTGCTTTTCTAACCGTCAAGAGAAATGTTTTTTTTTAAATCTTCTCCAATGATCTGTGCTGAAGGAGATGAAGGGGAGAAACTCAAGGCACCCACCGTTCTCCTTTCCCTTTGTCTTTTCCCCGAAGGATGCCCCTGCATTTAGCAAAATGGTTTTTTTAAAAAAAAAAATCCTGAAAAAAACAGCTCTGCACTTACCTCTCAGCGCTGGAAGAGGAACAGACAAAGGCAGCCACAGAGAGAGAAGGCTGTGTTCTCCGCCACCGGCCACTCTGCATGGTTATTTTTACCTCCCTATATAGAGAACCACTTCAAGGCATGACGGGAGAAGGAGGGAGCATTGGCAGCCACGGGTGCCCACAGACGGGAGCTGAATAGCAATGATAGGGGAGGAGGGGAGAGGAGAGACAGATCTGGAAAGGAAGGCAGAAGGAGGCTGGTAAAAGAGAGCTAAGGCACAGAGAGGCTAAAACCATTCGCTCCGTGAATTGTGAAAAAAGGAAGGTTCTACATTTAGGCAAGAAAAACAAAATGCACCCGTACAATATATGTGGGAGCTCTTAATAGTAGTAACTGTGAGAGGGATCTTGGAGTCCTAGTGGACAACCATTTAAATAGGAGCCAGCCGTGTGCAGCAGCTGCCAAAAAAGCCAACACAGTTCTAGGCTGCATAAACAGAGGGATAGAATCAAGATCACAGGAAGTGTTAATACCACTTTATGATGCCTTGGTAAGGCCACACTTGGAATCCTGCATCCAGTTTTGGTCGCCACGATGTAAAAAAGATGTTGAGACTCTAGAAAGAGTGCAGAGAAGAGCAACAAAGAGGATTAGGGGACTGGAGGTTAAAACATATGAAGAACAGTTGCTGGAACTGGGTATGTCTAGTCTGATGAAAAGAAGGACCAGGGGAGACATGATAGCAGTGTTCAAATATCTCAGGGGCTGCCCCGAAGCAGAGGGAGTCATCTGTTCTCCAAAGCACCAGAAGGCAGGACAAGAAGCAATGGGTGGAAACTAATCAAGGAGAGAAGCAAGCTAGAACTAAGGAGAAATTTCCTGACAGAACAATTCATCAGTGGAACAACTTGCCTCCAGAAGTTGTGAATGCCCCAACACTGGAAGTTTTTAAGAAGAGGTTGGATAACCATTTGTCTGAAGTGGTGTAAGGTTTCCTGCTTAAGCAGGGGGTTGGACTAGAAGACCTCCAAGGTCCCTTCCCACTCTGTTTATTCTATTCTAGTGTAATGAAAAGAAGGACTAGGGGAGACAGGATAGCAGGGTTCCATTATCTTAGGGGTTGCCACCAAGAAGAGGGATTCAAGCTATTCTCTCAAAGCACCTGAGGGAGAAAGAAGAGGGAGAGGGAGAAAAAAGAGAGGAAGGAGAAAGAAAGAGAGGGAGGTAAAAGAGGAGGGAAAAAAGGAGAGAGAGGGAGAAAGAGAGGAGGAGGAAGAGGAGGTAGAAAGAGAGGAAGGAGAGGGAGAAAGAAAACAAGAGAGAAGGAGGGAGAAAGGAGAGGGAGAAAGAAGGAGGGAGAGAGAAAGAAGGGAGAAAGAAGGAGGAGAGAAAGAGAAAGAGGGAGAAAGAGAGGGAGAAGGGGGAGAAAGAGGAGGGAGAAAGAGAGAGAGAAGGAGGAGGAGAGGAGGGTGAGGGAATGGACAGGCTGACCAAGGAGATGCCCTCTCCACTTCAGGCTCTGGCTGAACCCACCAGTAGCTCTGACCTTCTCCACCGGCAGCTCATTTCTTCTGCCTTTTGGCTCTCTCCCGTATTTTCTTTCCATTCCTGTTTGCTTAACAGGCAGGTTAATTGCCTGCAGTCCATCAATGACCCCTGGCCTCCCGTCCCCAACCTTCTCCCCGCAGGAACTCCCACCCAGTCGGTCTCAGCTTCTGGTCTGATGAAACGGGAAGCAAGCGGGCTTCGGATTCGACCCGGGTTCAGGAAAACAACAATTTGAATCAGGTCTGGACTGTATCGGTGGTGACCTCACCTGCTCCTTTCTCTCTTCTTCCTTTGGAGAGTCTTTGCACGGGCCGAAGAAACTGGGCAGTGTCAAATCTAGACATACATGGACACACCAAAAAAAAAAAAAAGCCAGAAAACAGGATAATTAAGATGCCTGGAAGAGTTATGAGAAAACAACACAACTCTGGTAGAAAGGAAGTCACAGCCAGGTTTGCAAGAACAGTCCAAAGACACGGGTTCGATTCTCTGGGATTTCTTAGAGAGGAAAGAACCCCAGAAACGGAGGTTCAAAATGGGTGTGCAAATATCCCAAACCAGTGATGGTGGGCATGGCGTGGCTTGGTGGGCATGGCAGGGGAAGGATCCTGCAAAATCTCCATTTCCTCCCCACTCCAGGGGAAGGTTACTGCAAAATCCCCATTTTTTCCTCCCAATCAGCTGGGACTCGGGAGGCAGAGAATAGATGGGGTTCGGGGCAGAGGTGGGTTTCAGCAGGTTCTGACCAGTTCTGGAGAACCGGTAGCGGAAATTTTGAGTAGTTCGGAGAACCAGTAGGAAAAATTCTGATTGGCCCCGCCTCTGGAGCCTGGGGAGGCTGTTTTTGCCCTCGTGGAGGCTTGAGAAAGTTGTTTTCTCTAGGAGTCTCTGGAGGCTGCGGACACAAGAAAGTCACTTCCTGTCCAACTGAAAGTTGGAAAACGGGCCGTTTCAGGCCTCCGAGAAGGTGTGGAAGGCTGTTTTCACACCCTCCCCAGATGCATAGAGAGGATCTGGAGCCAGGTGAGAAAGAAAAATAGGCCTACTGGGCCATTGCGTGCCAGGAACGGGGGGGGGAGAGGGGTCACATGCGGATGCCCTAATTGAATCATGAGCCTTGAGCCAAGAAATCCAGTTATTTATTAGGAGCAACATGTCAGCACGTACCCAACTGAAGTCAGCTCTCCCCCATGTAATTTACGTCCTAATCAAGACCCTGTTTTCCCCCTCCCCCCAGGGAATGTCACCAATCACATTCAGCCAATAGAGCAATTTTGAGGGTTTTAGTGACCACACCCCTCCGGTCGCTGTGGGTAACCCTGGGAGACAGCCTTGAGAAAGATACTGACTGTGGAGTCATGCGTATTCTTCCCCAGGCACCAAAAAGTCTCAATTTTTAAAAATGGAAGTAACACCATTTTTAGACATGGAATTTTATCCTGAAACTCATCCTGGTGTCCATTTTTTTCATTTGGTTTCAAAAAAAAAATGGCTTCAAAAAACATTTTGGTTCCTGGGCAGCATTTTCCTGACCAAGGAGCCACGCGTTTTCTTCCCAAGGAACCAAAAAGGCTCAATTTTTAAAAAGTGGAAGCAACACCATTTTTAGACATGGAATTTCGTACCGAAAATCATCATGGTGTCCGTTTTTGCATTTGGTTTCAAAAAAAAAATTGGCTTCAAAAAACATTTTGGTTCCTGGGCAGTATTTTTTCCTGACCATTAAGTCACGCGTTTTCTTCCCCAGGAACCAAAAAGGCTCGATTTTTAAAAAGTGGAAGTAACACCATTTTTAGACATGGAATTTCGTCCCGAAACTCATCCTGGTGTCCGTTTTTGCATTTGGTTTCAAAAAAAATTTGGCTTCAAAAAACATTTTGGTTCCTGGGCAGCATTTTTCCTGACCATTAAGTGACGCGTTTTCTTCCCCAGGCACCAAAAAGGCTCGATTTTTAAAAAGTGGAAACAACACCATTTTAGGACATGGAATTTCATCCCGAAACTCATCCTGGTGTCCGTTTTTGCATTTGGTTTCAAAAAAAAAAATTTTTGCTTAAAAAAACGTTTTAGTTCCTGGGCAGTATTTTTCATGAACATTAAGTCATGCGTTTTCTTCCCCAGGGCACCAAAAAGGCTCGATTTTTAAAAGTGGAAACAACACCATTTTTAGACATGGAATTTCGTCCCGAAACTCATCCTGGTGTCCGTTTTTGCATTTGGTTTCAAAAAAAAATTTTGGCTTCAAAAAACATTTTGGTTCCTGGGCAGTATTTTCCTGACCAGGGAGCCACGTGTTTTCTTCCCCAATCACCAAAAAGCTCAATTTTTAAAAAGTGGAAGTAACACCATTTTTAGACATGGAATTTCATCCTGAAAATCATCATGGTGTCCGTTTTTGCATTTGGTTTCAAAAAAAAAAATTGGCTTCAAAAAACATTTTGGTTCCTGGGCAGTATTTTTCCTGACCATTAAGTCACGCGTTTTCTTCCCCAGGAACCAAAAAGGCTCGATTTTTAAAAAGTGGAAGCAACACCATTTTTAGACATGGAATTTCATCCCGAAACT